TCAAATTTTATCTGCAGCCAATCACAATTGTGTTGCATAATCGCCTCTTACGGGAATCAGAGTTGAAAAATATTCAAATAAACAATACAGATGTATTCTGAAAATGTTGGTATATAATATGTTGATATTTATTTGAATTTATGGCCCCCAAGACCTGTGAACTTCGCACTAGTCATCATATCATTTCGCCCTCCCGAAAAAAATTTGTCCACAAGCCGAAAATAATGCATAGCAAATGAGTTAAGAGGGCTCTAGATTTAGTTGTCAGTTGCCTACATAGACGTTTGTAAATACCGACTAACTGTCTCTAAAAGGAAAGGTTGTCGTTATTCTCACCCGGGGTGAAAATAAAAATATAATTTTATTCTCACCCGGGGTGAGAATATTATCCATTTTATTCTCTCCATTGTTATTCTCGCCCCGGGTGAGAATAAAATGAATATTATTCTCACTCGGTCTGAGAATGCAATGGATTTTTATTCTTAGGCCTTCCTGGGTGTTGAGAACAGATGATAGAAAATAATTTGTGAATTGTTAGAGAGTGACTGTTCGTGACCTGCCCCAGAGCGCTGGCCGATTTTTCTTGGCTCCGGCAGGGACTATTGTTTCATTTTTTAAAATTTTGAGTTCATGAGAGTATGCACTAGACAAGTGTAGAATTCTAAATTCAGAAAGGAATTCACTAGCCAGAGTAGTATGTTTTTGAAAATAATAGCCTTATTGAAAGCTGTGTAATGAAGTAATGTTAGCTAAATAGTTTGTCATTGTAATGTTAGAATTGGCATTTGTTTACAACACGAAAAAAACATGTTTGTTATCCCCAACAGAACCCACAATTATTTTTAAGGAATGCAGTGTCTTGACCCTAGGCTTATTTTTTTCTTAATTTTGATTGGTTAAACCATCCAAGAGTTAAATTTTCCATTAGCCTACAGAACCAATGGATACTGTAGGCCTAGCAACAAAAGGTGAGGGTAGTTTATTTGCTCAAAAGATAAGGAAGGTTTTAGTCGCCTCGCGTGCTCAGTGGAGTGAGAGAGGGAGGCGAGTTTTGTCTCCTGGAGCGCTCAGTGACAGGGGTCCTGTGATGCTCAAAACAAAAAAAAAACGGGTGAGAATAGCAGGCTGTCGTTATCCGGGTAAGAATAGCATCAATTTTATTCTCACCCCGGATGAAAATGATATCCAGTTTATCGTCACCCCGGGTGAGAATAATCACTCCGAAAAGGAAAAGATTTCTTTGTATGGAAAAAAATATCTTTGAATGTGAATCTGCCATTAATTTTACTAAATGAATCAGAACAGAATACCACCTATATGACTATATACTATATGTGGCAAGCATGCGCGGTTCCTTCTCTGGGCAAGACCGGCTGCGCCGGTCACTTTTTGTCGGACAAGAGATTGATTGCTGACAATAATTTTTGTTTATAAGTTTCAAGTAAATACACATTAGCTGTCTAATCAATGTTCAAAAAGCGCTCAGACGATTTTTAAGGCGCTCTGAGAGACAATAGTTGTTCTTTGGTGTGTTGTTGCACTACAAAGACTCGTTCCTTCACCTTTGTTTATCACGCCGGCTCGTATGTAAATTGCACCTGTCACAATGTGAAACTTATCAGTGCGAGGCGCTAGGCCTTTCTGAACAGTGCCCTGCGCGGCAGTGATGACAGCCTCCAGGCAAATTCGGCTTTTGCCCAGAGAGCTAAAAAGACTGTTTCTAATTGCCAATTGGCCTCTCTGTTACTTACAAAGGAAGGACACATCTGCAGTACTGTACATATTATTTTACATAATTCCATCAGTTACTTTCATCATTCAACCTGTCTCTTATTACTGCTCGTACTTCTATTGTTAGCATAATTATTTCTTTTGCGCTTAAAGCCATCCATAGTTCTGTTTGATGTTCTCTTCGCCACCTACTTCCCAGAGTTATCTTACTTGGCCAGGACCCTGGACCGGCGATCCTTCGTACCGCCCAGTAATGTTATAGAGGGAATTTTAACGAGGAGAGGGTCTGGGCCTAAAACAATACACCCATCCTTTTTCCCCTTTCCTCTTTTCCACCTTCACCCCAGCTAGACTCTAATTTCTATAATTTAATCAGCATATTTGACACAGTTCTCTTAAAGCAGAGAAAAGCAAAGAAGAGAAGAACTTTTGAATTTGATCGAAATTGTCGTGGGCTGAATTTGTTCAATGTGTATGTGGCTGTGTGTGTAGTACAGTGTACAGTATCTGATTCTAGACTTCATCTGCATGGGACAGCGTCATTTGTAAGGTATCAATTGACAGCATGCAGGTTTAATATTTTTACATAGCGAGTGCATGTCAAGACTTTGCGTGCATGTGTGTGAAAAGTAGGTCTTTGGATGATGTACAGGGGCAGGGCTAAGAGGTGGTTGCTTCTCACATTCAGTTTGTTTTCTAGTATACCTTAAAAGTTCTTGTTTCGTCCTGATTAATGTCAGTTTCTATCCATATTTCAGTGGCTTCAATCAATGTCTTGAAGCTCAGACTTACATTTTGAAGTTTGTAATGCCATGGATTTTCTTCTACTAAACCCTTTTTATATATTACCCCCTCCCCCTCTCTCTCTCACTTTCTCTCTCGCACCCATCAACTACCCCCCAGTTATACGTCGGTCTTGTAAAATCAGTTTCTTCACTATGGATGCATTCTCTTCAGTTACCACAAAGGATGGACGTCCTTCCTGATCTTCATCCATCACCAACTTAAATCTAGATTTGAATTTTCTTACCCAGTATGTCACAGTATTATAACGAGGACATTTGTCACCATAACCTTGGACCATTTCCTGAAAAATGTCCGAAGGGGATTTTCCTTGCAAGTGTAAATTCTTGATAATTTAACGATATTCAACAGGGTCTATGACATAGCTTCAGCAAAGGAAAACCAAATGTTTCTGTGCATGGTTTCATTGAACATGCTGGCTAGTGCTTCATTATTGTCGGACCCCTGAAAATTTGCATGGTGTGTTCCAAAGAAATTATCTAAAGGCTGGTGAAGTTTCATTACTTACTCAACCGTGATTCCTTCATACCCAGACCAAAGACTTATTGAACCCTCCTCGTATAGGTCTACTTAAAAATTAGGGGTAAAAAACATCCAATGTAGATTGCATTTGAGTCAGAAAAACTTTAAGTGACTGTTTGAAAGTCTTGGTTGTTTCAGCACTTTTAAGCTGACCTTTTGAGAATGGGTCATTTTATGTAGTGTTTTTCTTTTTCTTTTTTAATTTCAAAGCATTTCGTAAGTTGAGCTTAAATCAGTTTTGAAAATCATAATAAATGTGTAGGCTACAACACTCTCATAAATCCACCCAGTTAACGCTTTGCTCACCCTATGATCAGATTCCTGTCCAATCTTCATTAAGTCTTTAAAGACTTTGGGTAAGTTGTAGGTTTTTATCAGCCATGGGTTTGAACAGGTATCATATGAGGATGGGTCTGCTGTCTGTCTGCATAGATATCTTTGTTTGGCTACCAAATGTTTGTAGAGGATTTTGTTTTCAATGCCGTTCAGGTTTCTTTTAAACACTTTTTTCAACTCCAGCTGAGATCATACAGGCATACAGATACCCTACTAAGGGATCAGTACAGACAACAAGCTGTCTTGGAACAAATGTGTCGACAGTATTGTAGAAAAGGCTAATCAAAGGCTATATTTTGGGAGAAAATAAGAGTCTTTTGAAATATAACTATTTATGGAAACTCTGTAGGCCTATAGCAACAACTGAAAGCTTAATTACTTTCAAAATTTTGTGCTTCAGCGGTAGCATCTTTCAACAGCGATTATGTTGGGAAATAGTTATTCAAAAAGCATTAAAAATTACAAATAGCTCACTTAACTCTTTCACTGAGCTTTACAATATCGATATTGTGAGAGCAGTAAAGAAAATTATGGCTGATGCTAAATACTCATTAATTGCAAGAGACCAGGCTTCTGTTAAGGGTAAATATTTTGTTTTTTAAAATAAAAGCAGGAACCAAAAGGTATAAATATTTAGATCATCATCAATACAAGCTATTCAATCTTTGTCACATGTGCCAGAATTACATAATTTTGCATTACCATCTAATGACTATGTTTTTGCATGTGTGTATTTTAGTGTGTGTATGTGGGTGTTGGTGTATTAAATTATGCATGTGTGTGCATGTGTGTGTTTAATTTGCCATGCCGCAACAAATTTCTCTCTTGGAGATCAGTAAAATCTTATCTTATCTTATCTTAAGATGGTAAGAACATTAGATTTTAAAAGGTTCAGCTTTGTTTTTCTTTAGTCTTAATGATTTCTAAAATATAATTGAGTAAATTGATGATTGTATTTTGCCGCTGTGATATGTTTCAATTTATTTCCCCTCTTTGGCCAGCTCTTCCATCTAATGGCATGTTAAATTAATTCTGCTGTTGAGAAACACTCATGGGGGCTCTCATATGGTCTGCCCCCGCCTTCTGTTCCGTGGTAGGCTGACTTTTGATTGAATTTATTCTTGGCTGACATTCCAAATCATTATACATGTAGCTACCACTCAACTTTTTTCCAGGTTTGCTCTTTTAACTAGATGCTTTTTCATTTGTTGTGTTATACCAATTAAAACTTTCACTTGATTTTAGATCGGAATGTTGATAGTTTTATTTTCCTCTCTGTTCAGGCGATCGAGCAAGCTTTGCAGAGAAGAGGTGTAAAACGGGATAAAGATGTGGAAGAATTGTACTTGTCAAACAGGTATGTGTGATTAAAAAGTATGTCGACTGCTGAAGAGAGAGTGCTGAAAAAAGAGTCAATAGTGAAAATATTGTTAAAACATTTTTTTAGCCTGCTTTGAGGTAAAAATGTCAGAGACTTTTTTTGCAGATATTTGTTTGAAAGATTAGAAAACAATTATGTGACCCTTTGGGTCATAATGTTTAATTTGCCACAGATCCTTTTTCTGCATTAGAACCTAAAGTAGCCTATTAGGTTGAACCCTGAGCGTGAAGCAGTTTGACAGGAAATCTCTTGCTTTACCTTTTTTCTCATTGACAAATTATCATTTTCTTCAAGCCCCAGCCATTTTTGTGCTCTCCCTTACCCCAGTCCTAGCCAATACAGCAGTATTTCAGATAAAGAGGCATGCATTCTAAAAAGTGATATCGTTTCTCTGTAATTATGAGGTTTAGATAATGACATATGTGTCACGACACGGTGTAATCAGTCGCTCGTCAATTTTTGGGCATGTGGAGTTATTGGTATCATCTGAAAGCTGATTTATTTACCTTGCTTCCAATGAAATAAATATGTCACGGCACGGTAGAACCAGGTGCTCGTCAATTTTTGGGCATATGGAGTTATTTGTATCATCTGAAAGCTGATTTATTTGCCTTTCTTTCAGTCAAATAAATATCCATCTATATTTAATAGAACTCAAGATATTTGAAATTTAAGGAAGTGAGGTCGCCTGGTTTAAGTTGTGAAATTAGCGAGGAAATGGCCGCCAAAGTTTGATAACTGCAAACACTAATGAGTCCTTGTAAGCAGAAAAATGACAAATTTTGAGCCTTTTATCAATGTTTTTCGGAAAAAGTCACCTGGAAATGTGTTTTTATATGGACATAAAAGAGGTTGAGCCAAAAATAAAAATTCGATAAAAATTTCCAAACTGGAGGGAAAATGCCTGTTTGTCCGATTTCTGTATTTTGACAAGAGCCTGATTTCACCTCGCTGCCTCTCAAATATCCATTTATTTTTAATAGAACTCAAGATATCTGCGATTGGAGGAAATGAGGTCGCCTGGTTTCAGTGGTGAAATTAGCGAAAAAAATGGCCGCCAAAGTTTGGTGACTCCAATCGTTAGAGAGTTTTTGAAAACTAAAAGATGACATATTTTGTGACTTTAATCAATGTTTTTCAGTAAGATTCACATTGAAATGTGTTTATATATGGAATTATAAAATACTAGCTGGGCCCCCTTTCAATGAAAGGAATGATCGGTGCATTAACATCAACTGAAAGTCACTGGCCTATTATATTTACACTCTGCTGAGAGATCTTGAGAGATGCAAAAAATTTAAAGGTCTAGATCTACTGGTCGCACACTTAAATTACAGAGACAGAAGCGTCAGTCTACAAAAGCGATCGGCGAAATAAAAAAATTTAGCTTTTTGCAGCAAAACTGTCTCAAAACTGAAAAAACGAAGGGCGTCATGATCTGGAGAATATTTTAAAGAATCTTTTGGTGAAAACCGCATGTCGATCGATGCTGCCATTAAAAAGCCTTTTACATTGCAAAATACGGCCACCACAAATAGATAATAGATTAAGCCAAAAAATAAAAATTCGATAAAAATTTCTTAACTGGCGAAAAAATGCCTGTTTCTTTGATTTCGTTATTTTGACGAGTGCCTGATTTCACCCCGCTGCCTCTCATATAACAAAGTTTCAAGGTAAATGAACACATAGTATGAAAATTAAAGTTTAATTAGGTTCGCTAATTTTAAAAAATGCGCAAATTGGGTACCCCCGAAACTGAGAATATACGCTCTTGGGACGGTGGGAGATACAAGCGCTGCTGAAAATATGTGGGCATGGGGCTGGAAAGGAATATTGTCCAAACTTTCTTTCGGTCCGTTCTTACAAAACACATTTTTTGATAATTTCATATTAAAAGACTGCTGTTAAATATTTTTTTTTCCTCCATCTTTTTGACCAATCTGCACCAGATTTCCACCACTTGCTCTATGAAATAAATGGAAGAAAGTAGGAACAACTTGATAAAGAAAATTACTGCCTGACAGATGTTTTTGACTTGGCGGGTCACAAATATGTCTTTCTTTGTTAACTTTTTTAGATTGATTTTGTCAGGAAACTTAGTTCCTTGTTAATTAGACCATGTATACCGCCCCCTATCGACACAGTTTAGATCATTTAGGAGGTGGGATGCTTTGACCCTGCTGGTCAGGGTTGAGCCAGGCTTTGTGAGACAAATATCTTTTGAAAGACAGATACTGAATATAACTTCTCCAAGAGGGGAATCAGACTCACATTTTTGCATACAGAGTAAAGAGCCCAACCTTTGATTAAACACAAGTGGCTGTGAAGGGCAGAGCATTGTTTATGATTCTATTTAACAAGGTATACTTTTCTTTCAGTTGAAAAAACCCAGGTACCCTAGAATTCCCTGAGCTGGATAATAAAATGAACAGATGTTTACCTTTTCATTGTCCGTTGAAAGTATATACAGGGTGTCTAAAAAAAAGGACCCACTTAAAGGGCAAAAAATTCGGTAATGTCTAGACTAATTTCAACAAAACTTTGAACAAATGAATTTCGGGACATACATTTTGAAAATAGGAAGAAAATCTATCAACATTTTGAGAAATATCACGTTTTAAACTTTTCAACCAAAACTGGGTAAAACACAAAATGTTACTACAGTCGAACCTGCCCTGACGGCCACCTCTATAAGACGACCACCTGTACAAACGGCCACTTTCCATTTCCCCCCTTGCGTTTTTTCTATATAATTTAACTGTGTAAAACGGGCACCTGTCCAACGCGGCCGCGGCCACAAAAATTTAACACACAACCCCTATAATACTAAGCAATAATACCTGTCTAAGACGGTCACCTTAGTGAATCCATTACGTTTTGTCATAAATTGTGAATTGGCCCCTGGCGTTGTGGGCGAGCCGTCATAATTCAATCCCCTGTCGTTGTTGTTAGGTAGTCCCTCCAACCGATCATGTTGCGTAGGCCCCTCCCACTGTTGACCAATAGCTACCAATTTTCAGCTGCAGGTGAGTTAGCGTGTGATCCCTCATAACCCATAAGCCCCGCCCAGAACTCATACACAAATCATAAGTGAGATGAGTGGTCACTGTTTACCCAGTCTGTAACAAAGTAACAAAGGACGTCAACAGGAACTTGTTACAGAAGCGTCGCTCGTTCTCCGAGTGGTGGCGACCCATGTGTTTGTTTTAACATGGCACTCGGTCTTCCTTGTCTGATACATTTCGTTTTATTGTCACCATTGTGCAAAATCAGCGCCAAAATAAAAATTACAAACGAAATACAAACTAACAGCAACAACACCAACAAAGACAACAACAATGGGGCTACTTTTGATTGGGGCCTCAGATGGGAATGGTTTGTTTTCTTTATCTTGATCAGTCCTGCCTAAGACGGCCACCTGTCTTATGCGGCCACTTTTCACCTTGACAATGGGTGGCCGTTTTACACAGGTTCGACTGTACTTAAAAGCGTTTAGCCACAGGAGAGTGATCGGGCCAGCCTGATTCCAGAGCAAGGACTATAAAACCACAGTGGTCACATCACATGGATATCTCAACGTGCTGAGAAAGTTTTGGAGAAATTTAGGAAGGAGAATGTGTTATGTTCCAGTGGGATGGGACGTGCCCTACACATCAAGAGTGTCCCTTGTATGATTGCAAGAAAGGTTAGGGGAACACCTTATAAGACGAAGCTTTACAAATGAATGGTTACCGAAGAATTCCCCCAGACTTGAAACCCTTCAGTTACTACCTTTGGGTTTTTTTGACTGCCTACGGAAACAACTCACAAACAATCATGCAGTTGAATAAGAGGTTCAAAGAATGGACGTGGAAACATGCCAAAGGGTTATTCAAAATTTCCAGTTGCTTTTAGAGAATTGATAAACACCTGGAGATTCAAATAGCCACAACCTGCTCTGAGTTTATTTAGCAATATCAATTTTTTATATTTTTGTGCTTCGGTGCACAAATAGTGACTGTTTGAAACAGAATAATATGATTGATTTTCTAGGAGTTACATAATTTTGCGTTTCACTTAATTTTGGTATACATTTAAAAAATTCAATTTTTTCAAACTTTTCGCTTGATATTTTTCATATAATAACAAATGTAACGCCCCACTGTTTGAATTTTTATTTCTGAAGTTTTATTGAAATCTGTCAGACGATAACCGAGTTATTGCTCTTTAAATGGGTCCTCTTTTTTTTAACACCCGGTATTACATAATTTGTAAAGGCCTTTTTCTAATTGTGTTTCAATGCCATTTTTCTTTTGCTTTTCAGAAACCTTGTTGAGATGATTGACTTGAAACGCTTCAGATACCTGAAAAAATTATGGGCCAATGGGAATAAGGTGCGAAAATTGTATTTTTATATGTTTTGTGTGAGAGCAAAGATGGTGAATAGTAGTGTTTACTATCATTACTGGGAAAATTTGGAAGTGAAAAAAAAAAAAAAATATTAACTTTTGTCAGACTTGAAGTCTTTTATAGAGCTCCAACTCCTCTGTAATTCTTAACGTCACTTGTATGCTGAGCTGGGGAGTAATACCCAAATAATACCTCATTTAGTAGTGTAGTTATTATCATTATTATTATTGTTACTATTATAATTAATATTACTTTTGCTATTGTTATCTTATTATCATTATTACATATGTTTATTGTTATTATCATTGTTATTGTTCTTATTCTTATTCTTATCATTATTATTATATTATTTATCTTTATTATTATTATTTCATTGTATATTATTATTATAATTATTATTATTTTTATTATTAATACTGATTGATTGATTGATTGAATTCATCCTCATGTAATGATTTTAAAGAAACTTGCTCTTTCACTCTGGTGTTTAATTTTTTTCTGCAGCTACGCAGGGCAAATTTCCTCAGTGTAAATTTCCGTCTCAGCGAACTTCACTTGCATGACAATCAGCTGAGCGACATTTCAGGATGTCTGCGACAATTAACCTGCCTCACCACCCTCACGTTACACAACAACCAGCTAACAAAACTGGACAAGGTGATGAAAGAATTTGACAGAATGAATGCCCTCAGCTGCCTCAGTAAGTGTCTTTAACATATTTGTTGTAAATCCAGCAGCCTTTCAGTTCAGTACTATGCTTTAGAGGGGAAAAATCTGTGTTGTAGTGAAGAAAGAGAAGCATGTTAACACAATAATGGTCGTTTAGTGTTGGGACAAAGTAAGACAGACAAACAGTAACGACAGAGAGAAAACGAACAAATAGGACCTACCAGTAGCGTCTTTTAACCACTCACAAATCTTTGTTCGTTTGTTCACTTGTTCGGCATCTATTGATGTCTTGGTTGTGCTGTTTTCCATCTACTGGATGTGGAAAAGTGTGAAATTATCACGCTGGTTTGTATTGCTTTGAGGCACTTTTATCAGACGCCAAAGTAGATGCGATCATTAATTTTCAAGTATACTTCCTGAGACAAGTTGTGTGTATGGTTTATTTCCACTGCAAGCTGTGTCTGCCTCCCATGCATGACAGAGTAAAACAGGAAATTGGTAGGATTCTCACAGTTTGTTCAGTCTGCAACAGTTATCAACTTAGTGGCCAACATCTAATCTAAAACCACGGGGACGGGGGAGGGAGAGAGAGAGAGAGAAGATGGAAAGAAACAAAGAATAAAAAAAGAGAGAAAGAAAGAAAGACACAGAGATGAATAAGTAAAGAGAGAGAGAGGGAGAGAGAGAGCGAGAGAGAGAGAGAGAGAGAGAGAGAGAGAGAGAGAGAGATCATGGGAGAGAGGAAGAGAGAAAGTGAGTTACAAAAGAAAGAGGTGCGAGAATATTTTTTTGGGAAAAAAACAACAACTTTATCAATGAAGCTGTTTAGATGCAGCTGTAGGGATCACCAAAGTTACATACAGTCGAACCTGTGTAAGACGGCCACCCATTATCAAGGAGAAAAGTGGCCGTAGGTGGCTGTCTTAGGCAGGACTGATCAAGATGAAGAAAACAAACCTTTCCTTTCTGAGGTTCCAACCAAAAATAGCCGCATTGTGGTTGTTGTTATTGTTGTTTTCACTGGAGTGGGAATTTCTTCTTTTTTTTTCTTTTGTTTCTGCTTTTTGTGCAAGGGCGACAATAAAACGAAATGTGTCCAACTAGGAGGACCGAATGCTATTGTAAAACAAACACATGGGTCGCCTCCACTCGGAGCATGAGCGACTCTTCTGTGACAAGTTCATGTTGACGTCCATTGTTACTTTGTTACAGACAGGGTAAATAAACAGTGACCACTCGTCTCACTTACGATTTGTGTATGAGTTCTGGGTGGGGCCTATACCTATGGGTTATGAGGGATCACACGCTTACCCTACCAGTAGCTGAAAATTTGTTACCTATTGGTCAGCAGTGGGAGGGGCCTACGCAACATGATCAGTTAGAGGGACTACTACCTAACAACAACACAGGTGATTGGATTATGACGACTTGCCCACAGCGCCAGGGGCCAGTGCACAATTTATGACCAAACATAATGGAGTCACTAAGGTGGCCGTCTAAGACAGTTGTTATTGTTTGGTGTGATAGGGGTTGTGTGTTAAAATATGGTGGTGGCGGCTGCGTTGGACAGGTGAATGTTTTACACAACTAAATTATATTTTAAAAAGGCAAGGGGGGAAATGGAAAGTGGCCGTTTGTACAGGTGGCCGTCAGGGCAGGTTCGACTGTATTTGAAATTAGTAAACCAACTTTTGTCTTTTGATTTTTAGTTACATTCCATTTTTTTTCTGTTCTATTTCAGATTTATTCAACAATCCAATTGCTCAAGAGCCTGAGTACCGCCTTTTTGTGATAAATTCTGTGCCTTCGTTAACGCTACTTGACCGATCAGGTGGGATACATTTTTTTTCCCTTTTACCTTTTGAAAAGTTTTCTTTAATAAATTTATTGTTAATATCTGTTTAAAAAGATTCTTGGTTCAGCTATAATTTTGTACTTGTGACTTTTATTTTGATTACCCTGAGCTCTATATTTTTTGTGATTTGGGGGGTTACAAGCTGCATGCTGTCTTTGTATGCGTCCATTAAAAAAAAATATTTTAAAGATGTAACTGTGAATAGTGAGTTGAGATTTATTAGTGCACACAATATCTTCATTTGCACTGCAGTACCTCTTGTATTACATGAAGCTTTAAAGATGAGGCCTATAGAATGATATTTTATCTGATTTATTTTTAATGACAGTTTTTTAAATTTTTACTAGTCTTACACCACTTTTATGAAAAGTAGATGTATTTTTGAGTGATAGAAATGACCTCATTATAAAATTTCAGTGGTTTTCAAAATGTTTCATCATCTGTTTTAAAGAAGAAAAAAAAAAGATAGTCGGAAAAAGCAACACTTCAAGTACCCTGATCGAGTACCCTGATGGCCTGAGTAGTGTGGACCTCATGTATTGAGGGTTCAAATGGTAAACTTCAAGGGTCTTGCTGCTGTCAGAATGCGTCAGTTCTTATTTTCATTGCTAATTTTAAAACGTAAATAAGTGATATAAAAGCCGCCCGAGATTCGGAAGAGGTTGGCTGAATTTCAATCCAGTTTGTAGTGAACAGAAAATGCTCTTGTATTTACTTGTGGAATTCTCAATAAACATAGAGTGGGGTTGAAAGTATTCAAAGATGTATTTGTCTTTATGTAAAATCTCAAATTCTACTAAAAGAATGTAGTGAATAAGTATAAAATGTCTACTTTTTCAGTTACCAAGAATATTACAAATGAGCTTGACTTGTCCATTCTTTTGGTTTACAGAAGTTACCAAATCAGAAAGAGATATTTCTAGAAGGATCTACAGGCAAAGTGAAGAAAAGGTGAAAGACAGAGTCGCTTTTGGGCGAAAATCCCAAGGACCCCCAAACTTGTATTTTCCTTCTACTCCGAGAAAGTCGTTTGCACTGAGACCAGGTATGAGAGCCAAAACTTGTTTGTGAAATCAAATGGCCATTGTACTTGTTATTCACTTGGCTATTTTAAGAACAAAACAATTCTATTGTTCTTTTGTGTGATTTTCTTAGTCTTCCCCTTTCTCCGCTCCTCCCTTTCCTCCTTTTTCTCATCCACTCCTCCTCCCTTTTCTTCTTCTATATTTGATTCTTCATCATGTTGTCCTCCTCCTCCTCCTCCTCCTCCTCCTCCTCCTCCTCCTCCTTTGTTTGGTTGTCATTGTTATTCTTTATATCATTGGCAAGTTGTTAAAATATACGAAGCCCAGAAAGTAAAATTTTTCTGGAGCACAGAGAAAAAACTGTTTCCTTCTTTCAACAATTGTACCAATATTCTGTACTGTAGTCTTCGCCTAAACGCACCGTGCTCGGGAGGGCTCCTTAGCGTGTGTTTATACGAAGCGTGCGTTTACATGAACCTTTGCAAGAGGAGGAAGGGACGCAGTCATCTCAATTTGTTATTACTCTAGTGATCTCCCTTGGAGGAGGGGGTCAATTTGGCAGATAATGTGACGACAAGTGACTGTTTTGTGAAGGATTCCTCGACAGGGGTTAAGAATACAACGGCGTTGAATGGGGTTGGGGGGGGGGGGGGGGAAGAAGAAAGACAAACTCAATGTAATGAATATGCACTATAAACGTCGGGAACAGATAGCCTAAGAGGAAACTGTTGGAGATAGTCATGGATCTAGTCATAGAGACGACAGACCATCCATGTGGCTTTCCAAGCGACCACCGCGACCGCAAATTCATGCAGAATCATCCTCGAGAAACATTTTCTCTTGTGATGTATTCGAACGCAGCTTATTAGACTTGTTTGGCTAATCTTTAATCCTGTAGAGGCCTGTCTAGTGTTTTACGGCATTTACGCATGTCGCGCACCAGGCCTAGATCTAGATCTACCTAAACATTACAAGCAGTCACTCAAACTCGAACACCAGTCAGAAACATTCTATCAAAGATACATTTCCAGTTACAAATCAAAAAACATTTCAGCCCAGCCCTAGACCGAGACCTGTGCGTCAGTGGAAAGTAGGGTGCGTAAACGCTGTCCATCTCTCTCTTTGTACAGCGTGAGGGGTACTCTCACCAAATATCCGGTTTTCTAGTAAATTCTAGGCTTGTCTTATGCAGGCTGTGCAGGTTGTAGTGGAAATTTCCCCTTGCCATGCTTAACTTGTCGGCGTGTTTCGCGGATCGGAGCGTGCATTTAGAGGGAGTGACCGTGCGTTTGTACGTCTAAATTATATAGTAAAAAACCCGTCAGATGACGAAAACGTGCGTTTGAGCGGAGCGTGCTTTTGTATGGCGTGCGTTTAGGCGGAGACTGCTGTATCTTTTCTTGCTTTTTTTTTCACCATTTAGATTTTGAATTTCAACAAATTGTTTCTTGAGCATATGCAATCAATACCAGATTGAGAAGCTGCAATTTAAAAAAAAAATTAAATTTATGGGCGGCTTCATTTTTAGTATATCTGAAAGCTGGCAGATGATGCAGTTTTTGTTCTCCTTTTAATCCTTACTTATGATTTTTTGCTAGTGGCCAGGAACCTCTTTGGTCTGTGGTGTGAATGGAAAATGAATGTACATGTATGTTTTAAACTAAAGTGGGAATGGCATGCCCATAAGTTGATAGAATAAGTAGATCTTCGAAGAATATCATATGCATAAAAATATCCAACTGTTGATATCCTTCATGAATTTTTCCGCTAATGTGATAATCTTTTTTTCCCCTTTTCTTCCTGATCGCACAGGATGAAATTATTTTTAATACATAGGAGATCAAAAAGTAAAAATAAATAGCTATTGCTTTTGAATTAACAAGCAAATTCAAGGTGCTCCCTGTTTGTGTGGTGAGATTCAATTGTATTTTCTTTCTACAGATACAGCAGAGATTGCTAACAACTATTTGAAGAATAAGTGAGTATTGCTCCTGTTCCACATGTGGGTCATTGTGATGGAATCGGGCACTTGTCAAAATTTGGGAATATAAAATTCAGCATTTTCCCTACCGTTGGGCGAGTTTTATCTAAAAAAATTATTTTGCAAAGAAACCTTCTCCTTCCATGAAGGACACATTTTAGGGTGAATTTTTCTTTTGAAAAAACGCTGTTTGAAGCCCCCCAAAAATGTTATTTTGTTGAACAAGTATGAGTATTCTGCTTTAAAAGTCACTCAACTATGAGGGTCAGTACTCTCGCTAATTTCACCCGTAACAGCAGATAACCTTTACCTTCTTAAATCAAACATATCTCCACTTTTATGCCAGAATAATCAATATTTTTTCACCCAGTTGAAAAAGGAATAAACAAGTTTTGATAAGAGAAAAGATAAGATAAGATAGTACTTTATTATCCCAGAGGGAAATTTTCCTAGGCTGTACAGGACCGTAAAAACACATGCAGGTATACATAAAAAATTTAAATTATATACATTACTCTCATTAAAATTCTATATGAAATGAGAAGTACAGCTGACAAAATGTACATGTACATCAAATGCGTCATTCAACCACATGCAGAAATTCAATACTAGACCTTTGGAGTTATATACAGATACATACTCCAAGAGCAATATACCCATCTATGCTCATTCTGACAAAAGCCTTATGCTAGATGGTAAAAAACTTATATCTTTCTTTCTTTGTTTTTGGAGGTACATATCTGCCGCTGCGTGATCTTACAATTTGTGTGGAAAAGGGGTGTGATGGGTTGTTTATAATGCTTTTTATCTTTTTTACACGTGTGGTGTTATACATTTCATCCATTCTATTAAAATCATATCCAGAGATATTGCTGGCTTTCTTAATGGTTCTGTCAAATTTTTCTTTTTATCTTTCCCCTTACAATTCCCACCCCAGCAGCAAATACAAAATAATAGCACACTTTCAATCATAGAATGGTAAAAAAGGGACATAATCTTATTGTCAACACGGAAACTTCTTAATTTCCTTAAAAGGAACATTCTTTGATTAACTTTTTTATGCACAAGAGCAGCGTGGGGATGCCAGTAGCCGCATTGTTGTTGTTTTTGTTGTTGGTGGTGGTGGTGGTTTGTATTTTGTTTGTAATTTTTATTTTGTTGCTGATTTCGCACAAAGCTGACAATAAAACGAAATGTATCAGACGAGGAAGACAGAGTGCCATGTAAAAACAAACACATGGGTCGCCACCACTCGTAGAACGAGCGACGCTTCTGTCACAAGTTCATGTTGGCGTCCTTTGTTACTTTGTTACAGACTGGGTAAACAGTGACCACTCATCTCACTTACGATTTGTGTTTAAGTTCTGGGCGGGGCTTGTGGGTTATGAGGGATCACACGCTTACCTCACCAGCAGCTGAAAATTGGTAGCTTTTGGTCAACAGTGGGAGGGGCCTACGCAACATGATCGGTTGGAGGGACTACCTAACAACAACGACAGGGGATTGAATTATGACGGCTCCCCCACAACGTCAGGGGCCAATGCACAATGTATGACAAAACGTAATGGAGTCACTAAGATGACCGTCTTAGACAGGTATTATTGCTTAGTATTATAGGGGTTGTGTGTTAAATTATTGTGGCCGTGGCCGCGGCCGCGTTGGACAGGTGCCCGTTTTACACAGTTAAATTATATAGAAAAAACGCAAGGGGGGAAATGGAAAGTGGCCGTTTGTACAGGTGGCCGTCTTATAGAGGTGGCCGTCAGGGCAGGTTTGACTGTATATTTTTGTTGCTGAAGCCAGTGAAAGCACACTATTATGAATGATCAACTATGTATATCTTATCTTATCTTATCTTACCTTGTCTTTTCTTTTCTTATCTTATCTTATTAATTGAATGACACTGAACTTGGAAACATGAAAGACGAAAATAAAGGTGGATTACAAAACGTCAGATCAGCTTCCGAGTAAATTGTACAGAGCTCTCATAAAATTAAAGCTTTTTATATTTTATCAATAAATCTGGACTCTCTTTTCCACAGCCCATCGTTCAGTAACCCTGAGGAGGCAGTTAACACTCGAAGGTTGAAAAAATCTCTCACTATGTACAGCAGTTTTGACTGGGGAAAGGTTCCCAGGATCGAAGACAGGAGGCGATCAGCAGTGCAGTTTGGCTCTCCGAGGATAATCACACAGGTCTACCGATAGCCAGTATTATATGGACTATAGTGCTGTTTTGTAATGTGGTAGTGTTTTCACAGTCTCTAAGTACTGTGAAAAGACAGGATGATATTAGAAGGAACATTAATCAGCTGTTTGACATAAGCTGCTTTCCGCTTCATTTTGATGTCACAGTAAGCCAGTAATTCTGAAAAAGCACTTATTGCCACGGAAATCTTTTTTGTGGGCACGTTTTACGTTTTTCCTTATGTTCTTGTTTTTCTTAATGTGAACAGCTGCACTATTCATTGTTATACGTGCCGTTCAAACAATTGTTTGATGGTGCTTGAAAAATATTGGTCTTGGGATGAAATTTCCTCAAATGATGTTGCCTGAAGAGCAATAGTTTAACATGAAAATCAGTGTAATATCCAGATGTTTTGATGATATCATCAGTATTTAATGTCAGCTCACTGTTCCATTTTCTTTTCGCTAGCCATCCTATACTAGGCTGAAACTTGCTCCTCAGAAATTTGAAATTCTGTAGATGCTTATTCATACCTTGAAACAGGCTCTAATCATGTCAGTCTACTCTGTTTGTAAATTATTAATCGTTGTGACACAACAATCGAAGCAGAACTATAAATTCCAATTCAATTAACTGTTTAACTCATTTTCATATGAAGCTGCTTAAAATTTCTACTAATGTTCTGAGTATCTTTTTTAAAGCGAAAACTATAGGACAGAAATATCACAAGAAAATGTACTCCTGACATAAGTCTGGGATGTAGATTTCCCCCCCTTTGTGTTTTAAACAGATTTATGCTTCTTGCGTGTGTGTTGAATGTTCCAAAGAGAAGTCATTGTAGGAAACATTCATCCTTTATTTCAATTAAGTAAAATGAGCATTTGTAATCAAAACTGTCGTTACCTTCTTCTGAATATCTGCTCGAGTACATTTGTCATCTGTTTTTGTTTTTCCTCTGAGAAGCTTTTAAATGGGAGAACCATTATTACAATAGGCGTGGTTGGTTGTCAAAATACTATTATATGCTGTGTAACTCTTTCTTGTATTGCATTTAGCCTGATGTTGATGCAGAAATGTATAGATTACTGACATGTTTTGTTTTTTTCTTCTATGGGAAATTATACTCAGTGTCAAAGTATTTGACTTAGTATGATATTTTTTACGATACTGTTACTTAATATGAGAATGTTAAACAACATGACTTATTGAAGTCTCTTTTTCTTCAAGTTTGCTCTAACATCAAGTATGCTGTGTAAATAAAGTTAGTACTCCATTAGAAAATGGTAGAATCACTGAAACTTGTACTAGTGAAGTAAGAAAACAGAAAAAATACCACTTTGTCTATAATGTGCGGATATAATGGTTGTGAGAGAATACACAATACAACCCCAGTACAGACAACATTGCGAAACCTGGCCATTGCTGCCCATGGGTGCAATGTCTTGCTTCCTGTTGGTGAATGAAGTGAGAAAAATGGGGTAAAGTACTTTTCCAAAGATAAAACATCATGTTTAACAGAACCAAGAATTAAACTGAAAACATTTTTATAGCTAGTCCAGCGCCTTACTGCTTGACCAGGGTACAGGTGGTAGATATGTACTATAGCATACTTCTTATTATTCTGATGTCGGCTGCTTCTGAGCCACACTTTTAAGGGTAAATATGATCTTTGAACCCATGAATGTTGAAAAGGGAAGTGCACAACGTACTACATGCTTTTGAATTATTTACTTTCTATTTTTATGTCAGATGATAAAACTCTACCTGGGGGTGGAATATTTGTTAATTTCTTGTGCCAAGAAAGATCTCTGCACCTGTTTCATTGAAATAATACGTTTCTTCTTTTGGCTATTTGATTCGGTTGAACATAATGAATTGATTTCATTTTCTCTACAACTAAGAATTGTTTACATTCTATGTGATGTATTTTCTTTTATGTTCTTATTAATTGAGATACTTAATCAAGTGAGGGAACAGTTTCACTAAATAATTTTTTTCTACATACAGAGAAAGTTACAAGAGTGGTAGGATCTAGTCAGATATGTAACAAACACAAGTCTTTAATTGTCTAGCTGTCTGGTTGGCTGTCCCAAATTGAAGTTCTTAGGCTATGGTCATTTCAGAAGTTTTCTTGGCTCTCCATCCACTCAGCTCAGCCTATAGGAGATTGACGTAATATTGGAAGTCCCAACTTGAAAATTACCTCGCCTTTCTGCGTTTTAAAGGACATGAAACCTTTGCCATGCCATGAATCTTTATAGAGACAATTTTTAATTAACGAAGCCTAATATTTTTGAAGCCCCTAGTTATCAGTTGAAATGTTGGGGAAAATTGAAAAGAAATATAGCAGTTGGAAGGAAATGAAACAGCTTTTAGGTAACTCAATCATCATTGATAAAGCATGTTGTGATTTATGCACCTTTTTCTATTATTTCTATGTTTTTTTATTTATGGTACTTCAGTTCGTAATTTTTATGAACAGGAAATTGTAACTAAAGGTGATCTTAAGGTTCCTGATATTCTACTTCATTTTGTTCAATGTGATCCGGTGTGCTTGTGTAACATAACGAGAAAACTACCTTTTTTTATACACTTCTTTTCTCTGTGAACTGGTTGGGTTTTTTTCACTGGTGATCAACAGGTTCCAGATTAGTCATAAGTTGTTGGCTTGTCTTCTATTAATGGTCAAGTTTTTTTCTTTCCAATTGATTTGTTTCTTATGAACACATATGTTGCTGTCCTTCCTTATACAAGTGTTGGACTTTCAAAGCATTGATGTCTTTGAGTACATTAATACACAGCTGGTGTTTTGGGGACATTTTTTGGCATGAGAAGTTTATTGCTATTTACACCAGGTCTCTAACAAGAATAAAATAATTTATAAGAGCGGTCTTGTAACCACAGCAGGTGAGAAACATATTGGCCTACCATTTGAAATAGACATTCATAAATTGTGTGTGCTTGTGAGCTCTTCTGTTATTGTCTCCAAATCTTCAGTTGTTATATCATTTCCCTTTGAATCCTATATTATACTCATTTCATATCTGGCATTACTAATAGCTTCTTTTGCTCATGTAAATTAATGTCTGTCAATGTAATTCTTGTGTAAAAATGTCTATGTAAACTCTTTTACACCCTGTGCTTTCCTTCACCCGATTGTAGTTTATTATATTCCTTCTTTGCACCAAAGATTATTGCAATCAGTCTTGATAAATGTATATCACATGATATTCCCTATAGAAGCTCCAAGCTTGCGCTGTGACTTGACATTCATTCCATATTCTAGAATTTTTGCTTCCTAAGATTAAAATGTTTACAAATTTGAAAGATTTAAAACTGCTCCCTTCACTAAATTCTGTAGTACCATCTAGGACTTACATTTTTTCTTTTAGGTCTGTTATCGCCAGTTGCCCAGTTGAAAAGTTGAACTGGACGATATGGAAAACAAATTAAAACTTTCTTTCTATTGTAAATTTGAAAATGAACATACACATTTTATTCTTTTAAAAAAATGAGATGGATTCTTTCTGATTTAGTCAATGTTTTAATTCATTCAGGGTGACAACTAGGGGAAAGCAATGTAATTTGTAATGTCAAGACTTCTTTTTATACTAAGCAGTTAAAAACCATGATTCTATTTACAAATTAGATTTGAAAAGTATATGCTAAAAATGATTATTTGTCAAGATAAGTATCTCTGTCTCATCTTACATACTTACTTATACTTTTGAATGGATATGTACCATTGTCCTTTCGTGATGAAATGTGTCACAACACGGTGGAATCAGGCACTCATCAGTTTTTTGGGGCATATAAAGAGTTATTGATATATGATAATGAAGCCTGTTCAGTTGGCTTTCTTTTATTAAAAATAGATACTAATTTGTCTTGAACAGAAGTCAAGATAATAGTGACTGAAGGAGATAGGGGTTGCCTGGTGTCAGAAGTGAAGTTACTGAGAAATGGCCGCAAAAGGTTGGTGATTTCCAAAGCAGAAGATACCTTGGCAAGTGCAAATTAAAGTGTTGTGCCTTTGACCAAGGTTTTTCAGAAAAATCCTCACAGAAATGTTTTTTAAATGGACATAAAAGATGTTGAGCCAACAATTAAAAATTTGATGAAAATTGCCCAACGGGCAGAAAAATAACGATTTCTTGGATCTCATTATTTTGGCGAGCGCCTGATTTTACCACCACATATGCCACAAATCATTTTGAAGCCAAAAGGGTGTCAGATTGCAACGATGAATTGTAAATGTTTATTTAAAAAATTTTATCAAAGAAAACAAACTGTCTCAATTGTGAAAGATACCCTTGATTCCTAGCCTTCTGATTCTGAAGTAAATCATAATACATATATATATATATAATTTTTGTTGTTGTTGATAGAATAGTCCTTTCAAATTCAAATTTCAGAAAATTAAAGTGACTTGAACCAGGGGCATTTTTTTAAACCTATCTTAGGGACAAAGTGGATCCATCCAAGAGAAATCTCCGCTTGCCTTTTTTACCCCATGAAAGTTGCTTTCATTTTACATTGACAAAGGCAGAGAGTCTATGATCCTTATTTGTCAACTCATTGAAACTGCAGATTCCAGTTCTCAGTTCGCCCTAAAGGATGAAGTATTTCTAAATGTTTTCAAAAAAACCTATAGAAACCCCAAATAATGATAGAAGCAAACAGTGTTTTTTTTTAAATCATCAAAACTCTGAATAAGCAAAAAGATAAAAAGTAAAGACATTCTTTTCTTGCTGAAAACATAGACTGAAATTACTTTCAATATACTTTTTAAAAATTGCAAAAACTGTTAGTTTAATTTAAACTCTGTGTTGCATAAAAATCGGTAGAACATGTCAAATTTTGTTAGTTCAATCTTCTTTCTTTTCAAAACCTTACAGCTATCTTTAAAAAAATGATAAACATTACTATTCAAGATGATGCGGACCCTTTGTAGAGGCTGAATGCCTTTGGTGGCCAGCATGGTCTCCTTTGATTACAATTTTTAAGGTTGAGAGTTTATATGTCAGCACTCGTAATTTATTTTGTGGTTGGGCAGTATTTTTCATTGATGTACTTGTATTCTATACGGTAATGGAGACCTCAGCTCTTTCAGGACATCATTTTTGTAACCTTTCAAATCATTCTGAAGGTATAGAAATAAAATGGCTTTTAGAGGTGGTGTAATATGTTCCCCCAGAAGTTACTGAAATATGTCTGAGAAGACTTAGTCTACAAGTGCTCCATTGTCAATGTTTTAAGGCGATTCATACATAGATTTTTAAATTTGACTTTGATACATATAATTCAAAATCGGAGACCTGTTTTGCTTTGCTTTGTTCTAAAAAAAATTCTAATGAAATAGTTTCCACCTGCTATATGCGCATGTTGTGTGGCCAAACGAACCACCGGATGCTTGGTAGTATGTGGTTTGCTTCTCCTTATGATGTCAGTTTTAACACCTATTCTGTCTTGCATCAATAGTTCTTTGCAGTCAAATAGGAGGTGACACATCAACTTCACTGGTGTATTGGTTCGACTTTTTGCCATTATACACAGAAGACCTGAAAGCTAATTAATGATGTACTCCATCTGTTTGCTGTGATATTGTTTCACACTTAACCTGGTTTGGCCCTGGCAGGCAGAGAGAAAGCTGTCCAACTCCTAAATGATCTAAACTGTCTGGATGGAAGTGTAAGACATCAACAATATCATAGAAAGTGACATGGGAGGCCACCTTCCCCTTCCTGCTCAGCTGTTTTTATGTTTCTCCATTTTCTTTAAAACGCCTGGCTGAACATTTGTAAATTCATTTTTGGATGAGTAACTAATATTATATTAGCCAACAGTCGGGCAGAATCTTGCCAAATTGTAGACATTTTGGTATAAAGTATAATGGAGAAGTGATGTTTTAAATAATTTTTAGCATCCCATCAGTGTCTCAAACTGCTTTTCAGTTATTTTGTCTCATTATTCTGAAATGATGTGCTCCTTCTCCTGCCTCTTTTTATGGGCTCTCAGGCCCATGAGTTGTTTCTGGAAAAGAATGAAAATTTTGATTCTTTAATATCTGTTTATGATAATATTTTTCTTATGTTTTGGATATATATATATATTTTTTAGAACAGTTATGAAATAAATACTTAGTCTTTATAAAAAGTTTTGGAAACCCTCTGAAATTTTAAATAAACAAGGTGCAATTGATGAATTCAACCGAGTTGTGTGGAATTTGTCATTTCTTGTAATTTTTAAAATTTACAGTAAAATACTGATTGCTAGCATCTTTGATTTCCAGCAATTTTAAGTATGATGTGAAGAGCATTTGGGGCTGTCTTTTTGGAATAAGTTAAGATATTGTCAGCGAGCTACGTTAATGGCTTCAGTCTTAAATCATTGTTTCTAATTTCTATCTGTTCCTGCCTCCAGCCATAGTTATCTCTTTTTGTAATTTGTAACTTTGTTGGTACATTTACGCTGTTATATTACATGGTATGCTGTCATATTCATATAAAAGCAATTCCAAAATGGGTCGGTTTGGTTTTGGTATAAGTCTGACTTATGCCATTATTGTAGCGTATTGTTGTACTATTTTAAACAGTGAAATTCAATTAGTTTTCTTCTTTACTACAATTTAGTTTCATATTACATTTAAAAGTAATTGATCCGATAAAACATGTAATCTAAAATGCCTGCGAAATTTGGACACTCACAGCATGTAGATTTGATGGTAAACAATTTTCATCTCCATCCACACAACCTGGGAGGAGAAGGATGCAGCAGACAAATAGAGATGGACCATAAAAAGACTTCTCAACATGAGGACTGAACTCATGTCTTTCCTGTCTAACTGCAAATAGACTGACCAAAGCACCAAAGATGCCTTTACTCACAGCTGAGCTTCCTGTCAACTGAAATGAGATAGTATAGGAAGATCTTGCTATCCACCACACAAAGCGTTTGAGCTATGTAGTCATCGTGTCGTTTGAAGACAAGTACAGTTAAATAGTCTAGTATGTGAAACATCAACTTGTTTTTTAGCAAATGCCATGTATCAACTTTGTATGACAAAAAGAAGAAGAAGAAGAAGAAGAAGTAAAAAAAAAAAAGAAGTAGAAGAACAAGACATAGCAGCAATAGTAGTAGAAAATGAAGCCTATCACAGCAGCTACAACCCCAGTGAGAGCAGCAGCAGCAACAACAATTATTGAAGAAGACAATTCTCAAGGACAATTCCCGAAACAAAAATAATACAAGCCTAACTTCTAGTTGTGTATACCTAATAATTTTTCTGACTAAACCAAACATAAAAAGAGGGCAGTAGATCTAATTTCTTTTGAGCCAAAATAAAGCTGCAAAAATGTTGGGAGCACAGCACATGACACCTTCCCTCATTGCCCGTGATTTAGCTTAAAATGGCGCCTCTGTAGTAAACTTGAAATACCTACTGATAAAAAAACAACTTTTACCTGCGAGAAAGCCTATAACTCTGCACCACAGTTCACAATTCACGCAAAAACCGACAGAAAGCAAGCTGAACCATCGGGAAGGAGAAAAAGGTAACAAAAACAAGAGTACCTTGGAAGCAGCAGTGGCTACTCCTAAGATACAGTTCACTGTTGAACAATGTGTTTTTTATGGTTGAAACAATATTATATTGAAACAAAGTCCCCTGTGCAGACACAGAATCTCTTCTGCAAATGGTTTAAAATAACACATAAAAGAAAATACCAAGCAAAGTGACAATATTTAAGAGGGTGGCTGACTTCAAATCACATGGCTCTGTTGAAAATAAAAACAAGAGATAAAAAATGTTGGTCTCCCACAGTGGGAGACCGAAGCAAGTGTGCACTCCTGTGAATGTGGCAGTAGTGATGGAGTTTGGGAGCCAAGAACCTAAAAAGTCAGTTCGTCGTCATAGTACTGAATTAACCATTGCTAGAGAATCTGTTACGCACATGCTGAAGTATGATCTGAAGTTTAAACCATACAAGATCCAGGTACATCAAAGGCTCAGCGACGCCAATGCAGCAGACAGAGTGACAGTGTCACAGACAATTTCGTCAAGCGCCTCAGAGCGTGTATTTCCCGAAACAGACGTCACATGGAGTAAGTGCTCTACCTTCCTTCAAAATTTGAATTTTTATTGGTAAACTTGTCACAATAAATCCGGATGGTGACCAAGTGTCTCTGTGAAATGTAGTGTTTTTGTCTCTATTTTTACAGTTTTTATGGTGGTCTCCGTGGGCAAAGGTTTTTGGGGGGGTCACCTGGTAGGCCTACACCAGAGTGCACAGTCTAGGATGTAAGGGTATAAGTCTATGGGTACCAAAGATGCTAAATGCAGGAATTGAGATTTTAAGTACTGTCATCTTGGCTTAAACTACTTAAGAGTAAAGTTTTATAGTTATACTGTCACTGATATAGTTTAGATCACTCAAAATGCAAACTGCTGTGTAAAAGGGCAAACTCTGGTAGTGCAGATCCCATTCCTTCTCAGCAAAAAGATGGAGAAACCTGAGTTTAAGCATCACATCCCACACACCGTATCGGTCAAAAAAGGGGAAACAAATGCAAAAAAGGAAATGGGGTTGGTGGTAAAAGAGTGGAAGAGAGAGAGAGAGGGAAAAGAGAGAGAGACATGGAGAGAGGAAGATAGAGAGAATCCAAAAACTTGCACCAGTGCTGAGTTTGCGTGCTAAAATGGCATCTCAGTTACTTGATGTGTATCAGCAAAAAAGGACAAAAAGGGTAGAAGATCCCCAATAATAGCAAAAGCAGAAAACTTGAAACAAAAACAAGCAAATGCAGAAGTATTTAAAACAATCCTTTATTTGGCATTTTTCAAAGGGGAAAACCTTTTCACCACACAAGACGTTTATCTTAGCAATAAAATTGAACTCCTTAGATGGAAAAAAATCATTAAGTTTTCTACAGATAGATTTTTCCAGCTTCCACTGTTATAAAAAAGGCATCATGTTTTAAGAAGAAATTTACCTTCGGTAGAAAGAGCCAAAGAAGTAACTCTGCATAATACTTTCCACATGGGGATGGGGTTCGCTTTTGTGTTCGATACATCCTGGTATCAAGCTACTTATTAATGCACTTTGTTCCAAGTTATATAGAAGAACCTGTTAAAAAATAGGTAGTTCATGAAAGTGTACTAAAAATGAAACAAAATTATGATTTAGAAAAACAAGCACTCTGGAAAAGGGCAATTCAGGATATTGCCAGTTCAAGCATGAGACCAGAAAGAGCTAAATGATTAGTTAAGAAAGAATATTTCTACTTCTCTGAACCTTGGAAATCCTGTTTTTTTCAGATGTTTCTCCTTTCTCTAACGACCAAGTCACTGAACCAGATGGGGGACGTCCTCATTATTTCACAATGACCTAATTTTATGGTCTAAAAGCACACAGTAACTTTTTTTTCTGTTTCTATAGCCAAAATGGCTCTTTAAAAAAAACTTTGGTAAAAAAAAAGAGTGTCATACAACTGAAATTTGTAATTACATGTAGATGTGTTATTCCATGAATTCCAGGACTATCGTTAAATGTAAGAGAAAATGGAGCGCTTGTGGTCTAGCGATACAGCGTTCACCTCTCATTCAAAAGGTCCCAGGATCAAAATCTGAAAGTGACGAAAAAAGTTTTCTCCTAGAAAATTTGCTCCTTTTACTTCCTTTCCTCTTCTCTGGTCCTGTTCTGTCATCTTCTTTCATCTTCACTTTCTTCCTTTCCTCTTCTCTGGTCCTGTTCTGTCATCTTCTTTCATCTTCACTTTCTTCCCCCCCCCCTCTCCTCGGGCCTCCTCTGGGCTCCTCTCTCCTTTACTCCGACTCTTTCTACTGTATCTCTTCACTCCTTCTTTCTGCTGTCTTCAAGCCACACCCCTGATCTTAGGGTAAGTAAAATCGAACACCTAGCCTTCTCAAGTAATTGTGAAAAATCTCAGAGGTCCTGTGTGCAAGTTGTGCACGTTAAAGATCCCTTAGTGGTCAGAAAATTGATAAGAGTAGGCTTCCACTGCCACCTGGGCAAAATTCAAAACTAATTCTTACTAAAACTGAAAATACTCTAGTTAGTATAAAAACATATTGAGTACCTTCGAAATCGGAATGTGGCTGCCTGAGGGAAAGGGACTTACAAAGTAGGAAAAACGGTCATATATGTAAAAATCAGTTGCACTGCAGATTGAAGAACCAACAGTCGACTACCCCTGAGATCTAGCAGGGGAACGCAAAGAATCTTCGTTTTAGTAAGCGTTTTACTGCACTTTCAACACTAAGGTCATATAAGTGCTGAAGATTAGAGGTGTTACAAGAGAGTAACAAACACAAAAAAGGAGGAAGAAAGATAAGGACGATAGATGTTTGATAGGAAAGAAGCAAACCACACCAGAGCACCCGCCAACCTCCCACAATGCAAAGAAGATGAAGAATGTCAGAGAAAAAAAAGCCAAATCCAAATAAGTAAAAACAGAGATGGAATGTATAATCAGAAAGTTGGCAATATTAATTATGTCAATGCTCTTCATTTTATAAAGACTGCTTTTGCTGGTATGAGCTTAAGAGATCACTTTCGATGAATCTTTGAAAGGCAGTCATCACTGACCAAGAAATATGAAATTACAAATATAGTGCTAAGCTCAGGATACATTTCCAGTTTGAAAGCATTGAAAAGTGAAATGAGTCAACATATTTTCAAAGAATCACTTCATTAACAGGAAATACTTGTGAGACTAAGGATGGTAGCAGAAAAACAACAACCTCACAATGTCACTCTAATTTGTCAAAAGACATGATTCCTTCATTAGTGGAGACAACTTAATTCTTCCTTTGCTTTTAAATCATGGTATAAGAGTTCACTGGAAAAGAAAGCACATGAATTTCTCAAAACACATATTTACATATAAATTCAAATGTGTCGATAATTTCTGAGGCAATAATAAAATCTTTCTGTCTTTGAACAAAATAAGTTCAAATAAATAATTTGGGATTACAATGCTGGAAAACTCTTGTTCATTCAGGTTATTTGCACCATGGTCCTTATCTGGAACTCTCTTTCATCTCAAAGGTGACTCAAGTGACTGACAACTTTTTACCCTTTCAAAAAACATTCCATAGTAAACCAGCAAAGGTAACATTGTTTGAATCACAACAAATAGCTCTGTCAGAAACAAACAATTAATACATGCATAGCAATAAAAAAAATAATGATAATCAGCAGCATATTTTAACTCAACAAACACTGATTCTAAAAAATGTAAAGCTCATCTGAAGTTGGTCTGGTCAGATGCAGAGAAAAATTTTTTAAATAAAAATGTCTAGAAAAACTATCTCATCTTCCATATACCTCTCAATCAGGGCCATAATCATCTGAAATCAGAAGCTTCTATAAGTGTAATCGTAGGGAGTTAAATCCCAAAGAGTTCGAGAAATTTAGCATGGGAAGTTTCCTCCAGAAGGCAGTATTTTCACATTCTCTAAATACACTGATTCTAGAACCTAATTACCACTTCAATATATCATCAATATATGCCTTTCAAACAAGGAACCCACAACAGGAAATAGTAAGTGGATGATTTGTCTTGAAAATTAAATTATATATACAATACGTTTATAACACTAGTTCCCAAAAGCTTTTATTCAATAGTTGACATCATTCCAGTACTACACATTGTACACACACACAAAATTCACACTGAAAATATAAGTTGCATCAGCATGACTTTCTGACCGAAAGTCCTCTTCTGAAAAAAAAAAAAGTGGGGTTGAAAGCTTACATCCATTCGCTGAAGCTGCTCCTATTGCTTTCGCGATATTATTTCTCTAACATTCAAATATAATGGCATTTTTTTTAAAACCTGTCTACAACCAGCTTTTTCTGGGGTTTTTTGTTTGTTTCAGTCTAGAGTGGATCCAGTCCTGATTATTCAGAATCCTTTTTGACAAGATGAGTTTCGCTTTGCCAGACAGGTTTTGAGTATGACAATGCGGTAAAAACTTACATTTACTTGGTGGGGAGCTTGGAAGAATATTTGATACTTTTATAATGGACAGTCAAGAATTAAGTACTCTCCCTGTAAAAGTTTTACCTACTTTCAAAATGACCAATAAATTCTCAGAGGTGTACTTCAGTTCTGACGGTGCAAAACAAGATTATGCAAATAATCGCATGCACACAAAGTTTTCACAGTTGGTTTAAATAATCTGTAGGACAACAAGAAAATTAGAATAAATGAGTACAAGAGTCTCTTCATGGAATTTCACCATAAGACAAAGCAATACATAATCACTATGACTGGTACCTAAAAACAGAAACGCAAGGCTTCCAATCCGTGCCGTACATGGCAAAATGACAGGTTTGGATATCAGGTTTTCACACTCTTAACCTATCCACAGTGTCCATTCAACATGTGCAACAACTATCACACCTCAGGCAGGAAGCAGTAAAAATGTCAGCCCACAAATATGGTATTATCACAAATTAAAGATAATTAAGTCAATGGTTTGCTCAGACTGTTCAAATTGTTGTATAAAGAACCAGTACCCAGTACCTTTCCTAGTATCAGCAGCAGTAAATGACATACAAGATGCATGCCATTTGCTTTTCTGTGCAATATTTTTGTCTCAAAATTATATATTAACAGCTTTTTCTCCATCTTGTAACATGATGGTGCCCTCTGATTTATTTGAAGATGCTCAAACTCCTTTGGTAGCTGCCCTCAAAGCTGAGAGTCACATAGATCAATTTCAATTCAGTCTAGGTCTAGAATTTTGATCCAACAGTCAGGTTTAAGCAGTTATCGCGATGACAGGCCTACCAGTAGTGTATGTAGTGTAGAGAGAGAGGGAACTGGATTATACAGTGAAGAGCGAATTAGCAATGATGATTCAGAACTTCAGCGTGAAGTGTCACCGATCCATTTTACTTTTTTTTAAAGCCTCATAGGCATGTTGCTTTGGCTCACACTTTGTAACTTGTATTTTGTTGTCACTAACAGGCATGATGCAATTGTTAAAAGTGTAAATCAGTCTCTTAGCACAATCCATTTACCTGTCTGTGAACCTAAAATATTTTTTATTGAATCTTTTAAATTTACCCAAAAATAATGAGTTTTTTGGGGTGCAGGGGATGCAAGTGGGGGAGCAACCAATAAGAAAGAACCTGATAAATCAGAAAGCCTAATAAAAAATGAACAGATAAAAACATCCAAAAAGATGGGCAAACCTGAAAGAAAATGATCCAAAAGGAAAAAGAAAAAGAGGTTTAATCTTTCTTTGCACTGGATAGAAGGAAAAAACTTCAATAGCCAAGTAAAGAATGACATTTGCACAATACGAATCATACAGATCATGGATGACTACATAACTCAAACTAGTTTTCCAAAAAGGAGACTGTAAGTTGGTCAACAAATGAGAACTTTACATAACTATGATCAAGCCAAATTTCCACTTGAAATCTAAATCTTTTAATACTTCGAATACTCTGGATAAGATCTTGGCCGGCAGCCTCTATGCAGTTTGGTTTGAGACCAGCAAAATCAGACTGGATCTTCTGCCCAAGACATGCAGGAGTCAAGGGAAATGATAGAGCAGATAAGCTAGCAAACATAGGAGTGCTTACCCTTGACCCTCCAACTGTAGTAGCCCTTGTCCAAGATCACTTAGCCAGCAGCCGTGAAGAGGACTCCTTCACGAAGGAGGTTGTGATTGAGAAAGGAGAAGGAGTACAGCCTGGTGAAAGTAGGAGGAGCAGCTTGCGGGACCCCATCAGACGCTACAACAACCAGCTGATGATGGAGACAATCAGCCTACCCGCACTGAAATGGAGCCTCATGAAGAGGGGCAAGGGAGCATGGAGCACCCCGTTTTCATAAGACCCCAGTTTTACATTCAAATCAAATCAAATCTAAATCTTTCTTCATGCGTATACATAAGTATTATAGTGGGCACAAAGAGCATCACGTTTCCTTTACAGGAGATATGGAAATCTGTCTCTTAACTTGGTGAGAAATTCTCAAATATTTCTTTGGTTTCTTGGAAAATTATTTTTGAATATGTCATGCTCTCATATTTTCAATGATCACACATTGATAACACCATCATCATTAAAGTCTTGGAAGGAATTTGAAAGGGACAGAAGTGAAAATAGTTGGACTGCTCATAAAATGGTTTCAACTGTATATCTTTGTATTGCAGTGTAACCAGTTTCTTTAAAACAATAGCATTTCTGGTCTACTTTGACAACACTGAAATGTGCTCTAGTTTGAATCATGAAGGTGAACATACAACAGTACCCAGTTTATAGGCAGCAAGGTCATTTTCAAGGTCATTTTCCATGCCATATATATTATCAGTTTTTTTTTCAGAGCAAGTTTGAAATATCACAGAAGAAGACGATAAACATAATGTATACAATGATGGTGTCATTGAAGAGTGCAGCAAGCCATTTCATACCAGAAAAGACAAACTGCACTACTCAAGGCACCTGTGATAATTTTTCAAATAGTCATTTCAGAGCTATGAATTTTTGGGTGGATGTGGCAGGAGTTTGGGTGTCTCGGGCAGCTGTCGGGCTATTCTGGGTTGTGACGGTAATAGTGGTACGTTGCCTCGAGACACTGAGGACATGGCTGTGGTGGAAACCAGTCCTGATCGAGATGGGGGAGGAACAATGCTGTTTCTGATGACTGGCGTCTGGGAGGACACAGGAAGTCCAGTTGGACCGACACTGTTGGGAGAAAAAATAAAACAACAACTACATTATTAGAACCAATGGAAACTATCCACACAAGTTGACACAATAAAAAGAAGAGGAAATTAACATTTTCAACACTTTACCTGCACTGTGGAACAGGCTATTGTTGAAATTTACTATAATGTAGAAAGTGATGATGAAGATTTCAGTTTTTTTAATACAAAGTCTACATTATCATTTGCAAGATATAATGAACAATGGTGACAACCAATCAAATCACAGGAGAAAAAAATCTTTCTCACTATCGCCAGTCAAATTATTCAGCAGAATGAATTAAGCTAAACAGATCTCTACCACTGGATGTTAACACGTCTTTTGTTTGAGATATACTTTTCAATATCCAGGGCATAAAGTGAGCAAGTCATAGCCCTTCAAAGAAATGAACTGTGTCACACAGCCTCTGGGGAAGTTTTCTTTGCACATGGGAGGGGGGGGGGAGGGGGGCTTGTAGTTAATCATGTCTAAAGGATCAAGTGTCCAAAGATGTTGTACACCTTTTTCAAGACATATTATTCCATCAAAGTATAGAACAAGTTCTTACATTCAAGTAAGACATGGCAAAGGTATGATCAGACTTTTAATTTAAACAACAGAAACACTTGATATAAACACTTTGCGACTTTCCATCAATTGGAGTTTATAACCTTATAACCTCTCCAGTGTACAATGAGTCTACTGTGCCTCTTTGCAAGACCTGGCACTACTGTTAGTAAATAAGTGGACTTTTTTCCTACTTATCAAGCCATAATCCTAGACATGTTCATGGCCAGGTGTAAGCACGCACTTGTGAAGTGATGACAAAACAGTGATGGGCATATGAATTATCCTACAGCGCCTATGGTGAGGTGGCTTGGGATAACTATGCAACACTAAGGAGAAAGGTTAAGATTTATAAATGAGACACATCTTTATCATGACATTACATATAGCCTGATTATTATTTCTTTTCAAAGCTTGCATTATTTTACATCAGGACATCATATCAATAGTTCCCTCGTCATGAAGGAAAATACTTCAAGAAGACAATCCCAGAGATACAACGTCTGTGTTCACACCATAAGCTTACTAAGGGCCATATACAAAATCTGTGTTCACAGTCATTGAGGGGGCTCTCGTGGCCTAGAGGTTAATGTTACTGCTGCCTTTCAGCCACACCCCTGATCTTCTGGTAAGAAAAATCTACACCTAGCCTTCTTGGACAAGGGCCAAAAATCTCAGAGGTCCTGTGTGCAAGTTGCGCACGTTAAAGATTCATTGGTGGTCCAAAATCGATAAGACAGCCTAAGTGACAGAATGACGAATTCTAGGCGTTTGAATTACGTTAATCAACGCAACTCGACGAGCTCCAACGGTCGCTTGGGCATTTGAGTAATGGGCAAAAGAAAATCATAATAGTTTTTAAGAGTAATTATAAAGTTCAGAGGAATTATTTTAGCTATTTGGTTGGGTCTTCCAGGGCAGGACTGCTTTTGGCCTCATGGAGTTGGTAAAAAAAACTGTTCATCTGTTCATCTTAACGTTCAATCTGTACAGGATGTTTTTGATCAGTGTGTATCAAAAGCAATGAACGTTTGAGACAACGGGGTCGTTTTTGTTTCAGCCAGGTCTAAATGGTCCAGAAATTTAACATCAAGGTTGGGGGGGGGGGGGGGGGGGGGGTAATCGTCTTGCAAGATTATTCATGAACACATAGACTATACCATTTTTCAGGGACCTTTTGATTACACTCTGTGTGCTGTCCACTTTCATTTGCGTTTGTTCTTTTTCAAGTTATTTGTGTTCAATAGTTTTGATTTATCTGATGCAAATGTTGCTGGTTGCATTTGACAAGATACCATTGTGGTCTGATAAGCACAGCCATCACTACAGCCATGTAATGAACGTGGTATTTATTGTCAGTAAGCTTCTCCAGGAAGTTACTGACAAAAGAAGAGAATTCATTGGCAATCAATGGTCCTTCTCCTTGGTGCCAAACGTGACACTTCACATCTTTGGTTACGAAATTAAAAAAAATATACACAGCTAATTTGGTCCTGTTATGATATGGTGCGGCAAATGCGTTCAACACCATACTAATAAATCTGCTTCCAAGTTCATGCACACTCGACATGATCTGGTGCCTTTCACTGGGTTTTGTGCAAGCTTCAAGTTAGATTCTTTCTCCTACCTTGCATACACCACATTGATCCTTTCGACATACAACAACAGGTTGCTCTTTTTAAACATCTCTTTCCATTTTTTTTGGTACTCTCTATAAAGGCCTCTGAGGCGTTGAAAGTATTAGTTAAGATAGATTTTGCCTGTATTTGTCTGTGTAAATGGAAAGCAATTTCGTCAGGTTTGTCGAAGAATTACTTATCACTAAAATGCTTGTCCTCTTCTGCTCTCTGGTAATTTGACATCGTGGAGCTGCATCCCCAAGTCATGTAAACAGTTTTACAACAGTCATGAATAACCAGTGTGAGGGCAGTTGCATGCAAATTTATTGTTTTGCATGTAGGTAGAATGTATGAGATTTGTTTCAAATTGAAGTGTAGAGATGGAGAGTTGAAGTTGAAGATTTGTTGAAGAGAGAATTTTCGGGGCGAATATGTTTATTTATGAGTAGTTTTTTTTCGAGTGACAAACTAAGTATCATCTACCCAGCACTGATAAACTAATCAATGATTCAAAAATGGCAAATGACAGACACAGCAAATGGCGCACACTTAAAGCAAATTAAGAAATGCGAAAAGTCGCTATAAAAATATTTTCCAATACTTGTACCGAATGTGAAATAAGCGCTCCTAAGCTGTCAATCATAGACTTTCTTATGCAGTTGCAAGTGCCATAAAACCTCTACTAAAACAAAAAACAAAAATCATAGACTATTTAAAAATTCATTCGTCAGCAGCTTTTGCCACAATTTACCGACTTAGTCAAGTCAGTATTAACGTATTCTTTGATGCCATCTTGCCCTTTCTCAACTACACTTAGACTACCAAACCTAGTGATAGATTACGCAAACTGCCTTGACAAAATCTTTTGGCTATCAATAGGGTACGATCTGAGTCGAAGTTAACAAAGGAAGTACCTTGTTTCGACGTTACCCTCCAGTCTGTTTTGACAAAGGCCAGTCATGTGGGTCACGCCGCCTACACGACAGGAGAACACCTCAACAAGTCACTGAATCTGCGTGATTCAACCGCCCATTTGCCACCCGGCTGCAGAACTGGCACTTGGGCGGTTGAATCACGTAGAAATTGTGAACTGATGTGAAATAGGCGATTGATTTATTGAAGGATTGAAACACTTTGCAGTTATCTTTCAAACTCGGGATTTTAATATAAGGTGTATCAAAGGCTGTACTATATAAAGGGATCAAAAAGTGATTTTCGAAAATGTTGTCACTTAGGCGGTTGAATCACGCGGCTAGCGATATATTACATACTTTTTTTTTAAAGAACAAAGATGAAAGAAGCATGAATGATGTCAGAAGAAGCAGGAAGGTCTCATGAATCAGTACTGTATGAGCTTAATGCCAAGCTAGAGACAAATGGGTCTTTTTGGAGGAGTACTTGGCCCACATGTAAGAGAAAAGAAGAAAGGAAAAGGAAGGAAAAGCGACACAACAACTACAATGTAACTAAACAAAAAAACAAAACAAAACCACAACACATGTACTTATGAAAAAAAAAGTCAAAAGACACAGAGAAGTATGAGAAATAGTAGTCTGGGCCTCAAGGTGGTTTCCTGTATCTTGAGTATTGAGCAGCTACATTTTATGGTACTTTTCAAGAACAGACTACTGGGGTTTCCATGAAAAGATAAAAACATAATTTTTCAAACAGCTCTTACCGTAATCTTTTTGATCGAGGAGATGGGGGCCTCTCAGTTTGTCTCGCTCTCAGGCTGTTGATAATCTGAGCCGATGTCGGGCTGGGAGCTCTCAATGGAGCCAAGCCTCCTTCACCTTGACCTCTTGACCTCGGTCTTTCTGGGGTCATCCCTTCTCCTTCAGACCACGAGTCTCCCATGCTCCCCTCTCGTGACCGTGATCTCGCATAGCCAGAAAATGAAGCCAGCGAAGATCCTTGATCATGAAAAACTTCGGCGGCCGGGTTTGATTCATCCTCATCATAATCATCAGAATGAAATCTCTGGCGATATTCTGAATCTCCATCTCGTATTTTTGAGGCACTCAGTCTTGAGCTAACACCCTGAGCTCTGAGTGAAGACTCAGCACTGCCAGATGGATATCCCACTGAGTCCATCTTCTTTTTGCTGCTCTTTAGCCTCAAGTCAGCACTGTGCCGTTGCTGTGATGAGCCTGGCCTGTAGTCGATTGTTTCCCTTGGCAAGTCGAAATCAGAGTCTTCTTCACTGTCAGAAACCTCCACGGCCTCATCATGGTCCACCACCAGAACCTGAGCTTCTTTAGTCTTCAGAATATCTTGCATCCTCCTGACATAAACAAAGAGAATTCACATAGTTATCTTTCACTGATAGTGCCACACTTGACAAGTTCAATATGGTCAAAAAAGAGTAAAACTAGGTAATCTCATTCCTTTGCCTGAGTTAACGTAAAGCACACTGACATAAAAACCAGTCTCTTAGTGCTGCCAAGAAGAAAGACAGATAGAAACATGTGAGTGTTGGTAAAGATATAGCATCTACCGTCACCGGTCCCTTCCAACCACAAAATGGAAAGTTCATGCACCATGAAAGACACAGAAAGGGATCAGCAATAGTAAAGTGAAAAGTTTAACTTGTTTCAGATCTGTAAAAATTATCTTTTCTGAAGAAAACCTTACAACTTGACTATAAGAATATGGAAGAATATAACTCTTCATTAAGACCAGCTATTACACCTATCGATAGACCGAACACATTATTCATCAAACAATCAGTAGAAACAATAACACAAGGAAAGTGAAATTAATAAAAGTCCATTACTAAAGAAAGTAAGTGCTCTAGAGAGTATGACAACACCTTCATTACATAAATCATAAAGTGCGCACACTGATAGTCCAGTTGATTTTATACTGGACTACAGTGTGGATGATCATGAATCGAATCCACGATGAGGTATTCTCGAACTTGGGTGGTTTGAGACGTCTTCAAATCTGTCCACACACTTTGATCAGTCCTATTAAATGTGGACATTCTCGTTACTAAAATAAAGGTGAAATCCCCCCATTTTCAAAAGCCCTTTTCTCATCAAGTCTTATAAATGGAAAAAAGAACTACACAACACATCACACTCCCAAAAGATATCCAGCATGCGGGTCTTCAAAATCGTGCGGTTTACATAGTGAGAAATAGTTGTTGTAAAAACTGATCTAAACAGCAATGCTTAAACCAATCCTTTATATGGCACTTTTCAAAATAGAAAACCTTTTCACCACACAGACATTTTTCTTGACAATAAAATTGAACTCTTAAGATGGAAAAAATTTTCTTTGGACAGATTTTTCCAGTTTCCACGGTGCCAAAAAGACATTATCTTTTGAGAAGGAATTTAGCTTTGGAATCAAAGAGGTAACAGCGTAATACTTTCCAGAGAGAATGGGGTGTGTGTAGGAGGAGGGGGGGGGGTGCCCAAAGGACACATTCTTTATTTACAAACAGTCAGTTTTAGTCCACATTTTTCAAGAGCAGAGATCAGAAAAAGTGCAATGGGTCCTAGAAAGCTATAGAATAGCTATGAAAAAAGAATTCTACTTCTCTGAGTTCTGGAAATCCTGTTTTTCAGATGTTTCTCCCATCCCCAATCAACCAAGCTACTGGACCTGATGGGAGATGTCCTGTTTTTTTTCACAATGACCTACTTTTATGATCTTAAAGCATGCAGTAACTTTTTTTTTGCTTCCATTGAAAGAAATGAAGGACTGTCTGAAGTCACTTAACTTTTATAAGTATAGTATCACTATTGAACCCAATCCAAGCTAACATGGATCAAAGCACTTTAAACCATAAAACACTCATAAAAAGGGAAGAGTCTGACAGAACAGTGAGAGTGGTGTGCAGTGCAGAGCAGAGATACAATGCACTTATATGAGCTGTCAACTCATAGTGACTGAAAAAATAGTGGTGCAACCATTCTAAAGCAAACACAAAAGTGAAATACTGGAACAAAGATAAACACATTTAACTTAGGAGTCTCATCCAAGGAAAGTGTAAATGCACAACCTTACACTGATTGTGTTAAAAATAAAATGATAGTGCTTTCATAAGCAAATGATACAAAGAACTATGAAAGGGACTGCTGACATTTATTCAACATATTTGGAAAATATACAGAAAAACACATTCCGGTACAACAAAACTGTATACCACAAAAATACACACTGAATCAAGTTCACCACATTAACATTTCAAGTGTTGTTCTCTTACTTCTCATGTTCAACTTTCCATGATTGCAATTCCTCAATAATACTGTTCATTTCATCTTCAGCTTTCAATGGAACATCCTCAGCATTTTCTGAGTGATTGAATATTGCTCCCTGAAAAATACAATTGAATAAAAAAAAAGTTCATAATCAAACTCTTAAAGACGAGATAATCACAACCATCTCATTAAATCATTTTGAGCATGTTTAGAATAAATTAAAAAAGAGTTTACAGCAAGTTGAAAAATAGACTAGAAGTGTGTTACGGAATTAGCACGTGAATTGTGGGAGGGGGAAAAGAAAAAAGCTGATATTTATGTTACATACTGTGTGTATCTATGTGTTTATTTGATGAGCAATTGTACCTACTGTCCCAAACTCGATGACAGCTATAGAACATTTAATAACTTCTCCAGATTTGCACAGATCTGCACCAAATTTGAGAGGAGTTGTGTTTGATCGTTCAAATGCCATGATCTAAGCTCAAATCTGTACTGGTCAGATTGGCACCTCTGAATCAGCTATGTCCTGGAGTAACCCAGGAAAAACCTTTTGCATTAGAAAATATTTCAAATCCAAAAAGAAAATTCAAATCTGTTATTGCAGGGGGTAGGAGCTGATTCCCATTCAACATCTTGTACACCTTCTCAAAGTGCAACCTGAGGGTTGGTACAAACAGTCCACAGTAGGGGACGTCTGTCATAAAGCTATTAAGGAAGGGAGTAAGCATTAACAAAACCGTGTGAAACGTGGAATCAGTTCGCGCTCCAGTCAAGACAACACGAAAGCAGTCTGATCGAGGACTTAGCAGTAAACAAGGCTTGTCAAAGTCTCAGACTTACAGAATTTTAAGGCATGATTAGAAAATGGAGATATATCACATTTTTGTCCTTCAAGAAAAACCCAAGACAATGCTTTGGAGGGAAAGACAGTGAGTACGTGGGTTTTAAAGACAAGTAAGACAGAGAGAGAATTTTCAACTCTCTGCTCACTTTAGCAACGAGGCTCATTTTAACGGAACTAGAAAAGTCAATTCAAGAAACTCTGTGCATTGAGAAACAGAAAGACCAGATGATATGAATGACAGGAGCTCAGAAATCCAGACAACGACTTTGTAAGAGCTACCATGCCACAGCAGTGTCAAAATGCTGCACTAAACTAGTCAGAACATGGAAATGCATTGCACGGAATAGGGGCCGGAGCATCTTTTGTAAAACTAACAGTTCTAATGCAGATTCCTTTTTCAAGCAATAAATCGTGTAACTGTCTGTCCAGATGTTCCTTAATGTTTCTACCAAAGGACTTTGATGTATTTAAAGGGATTTTTATTTTATTCAGCTTTTTCTGGTGGTCATCAAGTTTGGGATACACTGTACAAGCTGTAATTTTTTATCAAAGGCATTGAATCAAAATACATTGCCTTCTTACTGCTCCATACCCTGTGAGTTCCCTGGTCACACACCTGAACATTTGTTAGCTCCATCTCAGCGAATGGCGGTATAAATCTAGCACTCACCCTAAGGCAGCTGAACTGCACAAGTCATGTCGTCTCACCGTGTCAGGGCGAAAAGGGTTAACTCTTTTTATCCGGGCTACGAGTATACTCGTAACGAGGACCAGTCCGCGCTACGAGTATTCTCAGAACAGCGATACGGTCTCGTCAAAGAAGCTAGTTCTGCTTGTAATTACCAAAATACGCAAATACGGCGATGCTAGCTCTGCCTGAATATTTTAATTTTCCAATGAACAGTGGTTTCTTTGTTTTTGATGGGTGTAGAAGCTTGAAAGATGTCTCAAAAACGCACATCACGACCGACGAAGTACTTTTTGAAGTTGCGCTGGGTTGTGAGGGGGAATGATTCTAATTTGATGATAGTGACTCTGAAATAAGTGCCGTAAATTCCTTTGTGGATGATAAGAAACATGACTTAGACTCATGTAATAGCGATTTAAATCATGGTGAAGGGGTCAGTACTGGAATCCGTGTTCGATGGGTAGGGCTAGATCTAGATCTATAAAATCCAATGGGACGTCGTGGGCGCGGCAATCAGGGTCAAGTTCGAGGGTTGAATATACTTCAAAATCTACATTGTGCTATTGGTGTATTTCCTAACCACATACATTTACAAAAACTACATTCAATTTCTAACATAACTGCCAAATTTCCTTAAAACCTTAGAGTAAAAGTAAGAAATATAGCACTTTGAACTATACGCACTGACCTCCGACTCATACGGCGCGGCGGCCCCAGGACGGGTACAGAGTCCGTGGGGGTACGGCTAGGATAAAAAGAGTTAAGGTAAAAGTAATGATTGATTTTAAGCTGAACATAAATCAGTTACTCATACTAGCTTCATTAATACTTTATTTACCCAATGAAAGAAGTGCAGTTTCATTTCAAGTGACTCTGTAATACACTGACTCAATTCACAGAGCCCAAAAACATAGATATTAAAAATGCTTCCTGAAAAACATTTTACTTTAAGAGTAAGGCAAATTTACTCCAAAGTGAAATTGAGAAAAAGAATGTTGTGATCCAGTTAAGAAATCCTATTAATATTCATGTTCAGATCTCAAACTTGCATTTATTCAACTCTGTGGGACTACAGAACACAACTAGAATGGGGTACCTCACTCGAGCCATCTGTACCCCTTAAGAGGCTATTGAGAAAACAACATTCACAACTGAACATTAATTTGCTTGAGACCCCTGAGATACTGACCACTAAAAATACAAGACAGCCATAATTCTCGCGAGAAATTGACTATTTAGAGAAATACATGTCTTTCCACTCCTTCACTTGCGGTAAACAAGGAGAAAACCGTTCTAGAAATGAATCTAGGAAAGTTTGTCGATAGCAAGTAGCACCATGAATTTTAAAACTTTCTGTGAGAACTTGAGTCAGAAGGACTACCCCTGGGGAGGACTTGTCACAGCCTGTCCCCTCTTTGGGTCTCCTCTACACAACCTCTTCCCCCCCCCCCCCCCCACACCACCCCCTAACCTCAGTGGGTCAAGGTAAAATTTAAATTAAAACCCAATAGCAGGTGATAGCCCTTTTGCGTGTTCAGTAACAACTGGTTCAAGGCGATGGGACACAACCCTTTACTTCTCTCTGTGAAGATTCCCACACCATGGTGTTAGACTGGGTTTGATAAATTGGACTTTGTTAGTGGAAAAGAATAACTCAAGCTATCTGAAGTCCCTTCCTATGCACCTTCCAAACAGCCTCACATATTCAAGGTCATTGCCGCTAATTCAACAAACCTTCTGCATGAGTTTGCTCAGTCCCTTTTGGATTTCTTCCTTGGACCCTGCGCCTCCTTTTCTCCTCTGTCTCAAGGCTTTGGACGGGTTTCCACAAATGACTCCACCAATAGTGAGTTCACTGGAGGACTCTATGCCTTCCACAGCATCTGTGAACAGTTTTGTGAGAGTGAAAAAACCTGCCCTTTGATAAATCACAACAAAATTATGTTGTAGAGGTGTTATTCAAAATTGTAACTGTAAAGGAAATAGTTGAAGCAAAAAGGAACATAGCCCCACACCTTATTAGAAAAGATGAGCATTGTTCATATTATCCCATGGAGGAAAATATTTTCTCTAAATAAATTTGGAACTAACAGCAACAAAAATCCTGCTTGTGCTATGTTGTAGAGAACCTTTTTCTTATTAAAAAGAACAATTGTCTACAATAAATAAAGGGCATAAACATTGTGAAATTGAATGTTAAAAATCAGAAAATTTAAGGCTTTCAACTGCGATGTGAAAGATATTTCATATTTTTGTTCTTGTCACAGCATGCCTTGAGCCAGTCTGCCAGATGACATTATGCTGCCATAATAATACTTCACTGTTTTTACTCAAAACATTACCTAGTTGGCATTTTTACTTGATATAAGATAAACATGTTAGGGGTACTGTAATTAATTTGTGACCCCTATTGGCATGTCTTTCAGTTTCTAATGCATATCAGGGTAGAAAGGGAAAATAGTATCCATTCATACGACAGTTGTTTTTCTTAAAATGAAAAACCAAGATGCACCTTTAGTGAGTGTGTTAACTATGGTATGGAAAGCCTTGCAAACTCTCTTGATTCAAGACAATGTAGACAATGAAATCCAACCATCATGTATTAACAGAAAGTTTTCTAGACTTTTTATCGTCTTTGAAAAGAACAACAGCTTTCTAAGAGAATTCCTATCTCCTTCTCCAGTGAATATCCTTATCAGTTTTGCTACCAATCCATAAAGTTGACCCTCTTCACTCTTCGTCCTCGCACTACATCAGTCCTTTAGCACCACAATTAGTGTCTGCAGTCCAAATAGAACACCACTGCTAGTGACCTTATAAGTGTCAACAGGAACAAAAGTACAGAAAAACAGTTTATAACGGTCAACTGTATAAGACAATCACCTGTACAAACGGCCACTTTCAAGTTCCTGAAGGCATTTTTTAAAAACATAATAAAGACACTGTGTTTGACATCCACCTGCCTAATAAAACCATATTCCTTCTCAACCATGGGTGGCTGTCTTAGAAAAGTTCGATTGTTTTGTGCACGGTTGACTTATACATCTCAAAATCGTTAAGTTCTCACTCTTATGCTGTACAAACAATAAAGCACTCTTACGCTTGATTCTGTATTATAGTGTGGGCATATCGGACACATTCTGTTTCTGTTCTTACTGACATCATCTGATCCAAGCATTGTCCATCCATTGCTGGATGTAGCCCTCGACAGTGCTCTCCAGTACAGGCTATCTTCAGTTTGTCCATGCCATGTTATAGAAAAGATTTCTTAAAGTCACCCCATTATCTCCAGGATAGTCTGCCTGCACTTCTTCCTTGTCCGTATCTTGGAAGCTACTATGTGCAGCTCTTTGCCCATCTGGTATCTGAACACCTTACTATATGCCCTGCCCATCTCCATTTGTTTTTAAATGTAGTTCTAAAGCGTATGTGACACTCTTTTTCCTTCTCACTTCTAGGCAAGATACTTTGTCCTCGAGTTTAATCCATTAAGCTCATTACACCAGTATATCAGTTCAACTTTTATTCTCTATTACACCCCAGCACTTTTTAACTAATGCTGAGATCAGACACTTTGATTGTGAGTTTTGCAGAAAGACGTCTGTACCTATAATGCATATATATATTTTATAATTATTGTTTCAAATTTTACCATTTTTCATTGAACTAAAAAATCCTGACACAAAATGTCCTTGAAAGAAATAGTAACTGCATCTGAAGTGCTGAACCATACTGGGGAACTTTCTGAATTAGACACTCAATTTAGATTACCCAAAAAGCGAAACTTTGAATCAGTTTTAAACAACGCAATAGATCTCAATTTGAAATTTAATGAAAGCATTAGATCGAGAAATAAAATGAAATTCCAGGAAGAGGCATTTGCAGTCATTACAATCAACCAAACATCCTGTCTAACAACTGATCTACAACCTCCTCTCAAAGCATTATGGCACAGTCAATCTCACACTTTCTCCAAAAAAGTCCACTATGTTGAAGAGCGATTTACAGAAAGAAAGTTATGGGATCAAACTTAAAAACATTCAACTGGTCGTTTTCACCCAAGAAGCGTGATAGCCCTATGTATAGTATAGGGCTGACCCATTTTGACAGGGAAGCGCGCAAACCCTATATAAAGGGCATAGACCCTCACTTTCTGTAATGAAAAATTTCAGTGTTCCTTATAAGGTAAATGACGTATTAAATTGCACATAAAAATTATAAATAGTGACCACAGAGTTTGCAAATTATTTTGAATTCGTAACGCATCCCTTGCCCAGATATCAATCGATAAAGTGGCACGGTCCAGCTGAATGACTACATTCTGTTATCGCTTGTTCCGCGGTGCAATTTTACTAATTGACAACTTCGTCCCGTTTTACACTTTATTTGTAATGGTATGATTGCCTATCATTTTTTAAGGGGTCATTCTATCAGCTTTGAGAAAAGATATGGTTTCACATGTCTTTTATCATCTGTTGAGCCGTGAATGGTCATTATTTAGTAGCAGGTATAAATCTCAGCTGATACCCCCACCAAACCCCAATGTTTACAACTGATCAGCCGTGGAGGCGAGGCATTTGGGACAAGTTACTTCAGATAAAACAGTGCGTGCTTTCAGGGTGATTTATCCTTTAACCCATTGCACCCGCAATACGAGTATACTCGTAGCTGCCACGTGCTTCTGTCCATCCAGCTAGGACTACAGTCGTATCAAAATACCAGTCCACAAAATCGAGTCTGAACCACTTATCCAGGTTTCTATTGAAAGTAACAGGTCGCTTGCGGCTTGTAAAAACATTTGCTAGCTTGTTTTGATCCAGTTTTTTGTCAAGTACGAGTCAGTTTTGTTGTTTTGTTACTGCAAATCATAGCAAAAAAGCAAGCACTGAAATCTTCATGGACGAGAAAAAAAAAGCAACCACAAAAAAACAAAACAATGCCAAGGCTATTTTTGTGTTTGTTATAATACATGAACCATGTTTTTAGTTTTGTTTTAAGCATAGGCGGCAAAGAAAGCAAAAGTAGACATAAATCTAAAAGAACAAAGCCATCAGATTGATTTTAGAGCCTTGAAAACTTCGAAGAAAAGCTAGACCTAGACAACAGATTTACTATAAATTGCTATGGGTAAATCGAGTGCCGATGAGTCGCAGTCGGACGAAGAATATATCTGTTTTCTCAGCTCTTTCCTTCGTCTTTCTCTCTAATGATATTTGGCCCACAATGTGTGACTAAGGTTAGTAATAGTGTGTCGAATTCAGACCGATTTTTTTCCCCCGGCTCACGGCAAGCCAGGTGGACACAAGTGCACTGCCCGCGGCAACGTCGGGTGAATTGGGTTAAAAGACAGCAGATAAAAATAACAGCATACCACTAGAAACAGGGCGGACTGAAGCAGACGTCCCAGGCCTAGTGGGGGTGCTGGGTCCGCTCATGGTCTGTGGCCGGCGCGAAGCAGAGAGAGGACGAAAACCTGAGGAGGGTCGGAGGGCAGAGCCAGGGCGGTAGCTGGTGGCTGGACGGAGAGCCGCCGATGGTGGACGCTCTGGGGAGAATTTGAACAAGATGAAGTTCAGCAAAAAGTTTCATCAACACACTCTTCGCTTTTGTAAGAACATTCAGAGTAACATGCAAAAAAAAAATGTGGACATGAAGGCTGTCTTCTTGTCCACCTAGCTGTCAGTATCTCTTCAGTAGCAATTGTGTTTTCTACAGAGTAAGGTGTTGGAAATACAATCACAGCTTCAAGGGTTCAATTCTCAGCTCTGAAGGGCATACGCTATTTTAAAATCTATCAATGTTTCCACAATATTAGGTGATTTCTGAAACAGTAACTAATAAATAAAACTTCACAGACTGAGGGATGAGGTCAGGACAAATGGATTCACTCTTAGAAATAAGCATGTCTACTGAGCTGATGCGGCATTAATGCCATTGTGGTGGCAAGTCTACTCAGTAGACACTTGTGGTAATCAAATGTAGGAATGAATAATTTCAATCTTATCCAGTTCAGCTTTTTATGAGAACTTAGAAAAGGGAGTACAATTATGTGTGATCTAAAAAAAAGTGCACCTGAAAGCAGTTTATTGCATATATTTGTGTGGTTTGTGTTAAATTACATATTAGCTTTCTGAATGTAAATAAAAAAAGGAAAGGAAAGACAATTAACTTATCAAAAAAATTAAATCATATAAGGGTGGAAAAAAGCCACAGGGCAGTTTTTTTTCTAATATAGACAGTGAATATGAATATAATGATTCTTCATAGTCCAATGTTGATCATTATGTTATTCTTGACAACAATTACTGTGATTCCAGTCAATCTCAAACTAGTGACAATGAAGTGAATTACACTACATCTAGTAGCCCTGGTTCCAGCGTTGAGCGCCCGGTATCTTATTTATCTGGTCTGGTAAAGTAAATAACCAACTAAAGGAAAATGAATGAGCAAAGCATGGCCTCAGAGTCGTGCTATTCTTTGTGCAGCTATAAAAAGAGCAAGGCCATTTTTTAGGGGAGTGAAAAAGAGTGTAAGAGAAATGCATACTTCATGGGAAGAAATGACTGAAGATGAACGTGCAAACTACCAGTCTATTCCTCACAGTTGTGACACAAAAAAGCTTGTAACAAAATTCATTATCTAAGGAAATATCAGGAAGATGACTGTGCCTATTTACAAATGGCTACACTACCCTGCAAGACTGATTTTGAAAACCTACCTGGCTGATTTTCTCCAATAGAGGCCAGGAAAATGAAAAAAAAATGACAGTGGCTTCTATTGTTTCTGCTCATTTTCTTCTTTTATCATAAATATCTGCTAGCCTGTCCAATCTTCATACTTTTTAAAATATTCTCCTTGGTAATACATGCCTGTAGGATTGAAAATATATTTTTCTAAAATTATGAAATTGCTAATGTATGCTTATTTTCCATTAAAGGTGTGTGACAAGACAGGGAATAGGCCTATGACTTGTAAGGGTCAATCCATTAGTTAGATTCATGCAGAGTGAGCTAAATTCAGTAATGTCATTCCAAAGCCCCGATATCTCATGCCACCCCCAATAAATTTCATAAAGATAAAGCTAACATAAGCAAATTTTAAAACTTACACGCTTTTTTCCCCTATTGACACAATAAATAATTAAAGAGGTGGGCTGCTTCCACTCTACCTGTCTGGGCCAACTCAGGCTGAGAGGAACACAGCCGAAAAACGGAGATACTTAATAAAATTTTTCACGACACAGGAAGCTAACTCATGTGTTCTACATGCCACGGTGAAATGCCTAATCACTTCACCACAGTTGTCGTTCAAAATAAACAGCTGCAAGTGCTGCTTCTACTCTTAATAGTCCCAATTACAGCATTGCAGGAGGCTCCACACATATCATCACTGACTAACGGGCATGCTTTCCCTTCACCTCCAAACATCTGTCCAAAGACAACCGATGCTCCTCCATTTTATGGGTGTAGGATGAGCACAGACTCGCCATCAGCAAGACTGCACCCTGAAAAGTTGTAGACTATAGATCTGAGGTAACATGAAGGACGGATATTTTACGTTTGTTTCTTTGATTAAAGAGAAGCACATCGACACAATAGTGGTCAGTAAGTGTTGGGAAAAAGTAAGACAGACAGATAGAAACAACAGAGGGAAAGTAAAGAAGGAGAATCCATCAGTGGGGCCCTCCAACCACCCACAAAGGTATTTTAAAAATTAATTTGAGGAAAATTAAAACCAACCTCCAATTGCTTGAGCTTCATTGGATACTTCTTGGTTTTCACTAAACTCCTGCTGTAAGAAAGCATCTTTCTGTAGTTCTTCCAAGTACGCCCAGTCTTCATCAAACACATTGTGTTTTATCAGGGAAGAGGACGCTTCATCCAGCCTCTCATCATCCAGCACCAGTAGATTTGGCAAAAGTTTCTTAATTGTCTGTCTGTAGTCATAGCCAGGCTGCATGATTGCAGGATGGAAAATATCAGGGGAAAAGAAGATATAGTCAAAACGTGTACTCTGTATCTGATAGTTATACTCTAGTTAAATTCCAGTTATATCTGCCCCTGTTCAGTTATATTAGCAAAAATTTTGACCAAACCAACCAGTCATAAGTACACAAGGTCATAGAAAAGTTTGAAAATGTCCTTTCTGCTTCAAAGTCTAGAACGAAAAATCAGAGAAAAGTACGCATGGAGTTTTAATGAGCAAAGTTAAGACAAGACATAACTTTCTAATACATTATCACATGTGGTTATGAATCAGGCTCAATTCATTTGTGGAGCAGTATTAATTCCAATTCTCACAATCTTGAAAATCTAAAAGAAAACGATTCAAACCATGGTTGAGTGACTATAAACCACTGAAAAGATAGAATCAAGCTCTAAAACTTGTACAAGGTTTTGTTTATAGGCGTGACATGACTTCTAAGATAAAATTTGATAAGAATGACATAGTATTGGTTCAAAAGATATAGAAGGAAGTCAGAGCCTCAGGGTCTAAGGTAATATTCTATTCTAGCAAAAAAAAAAAAAAAGCCACCATCATGAAATTAAGGACAAAGAGCATACTTCCGTGCTCAAGCTATAAAGAAAAAGCAGACTGATAATAGTAGAATGTCCTCAAGGTATGTTTAGAACTAAAAATTTCCACTAGCAATACTCTAGATTTACAGTTCGGAATAGGTACTTATATGTACTAAAATTCATCAGGTTATTTCCAATGAAATTTTCTGGGACTAGTTCAGAAGTCACATTCAACTATGAAACTCAAGACAAAAGTACCAAAGTCATTGGAAGAGCTAAAGATAATTGATTTTAAAGCCTGCGCAAAAAAAATAAAAGTAAAAAGATGTTACTGAATTTAAAATAAAAACATCAGAAAAAGAAGAAATGCATTAACAAGAAGTAGGCAGTTTCATAATCTTTCAAATACTTGCAAGGTGGGCTTTGAAATGAGCTAAGATGAAAGCGCAAAACATCCAGACTCATATCTCCAAGGTTAAGTTCATTTATCATTTAATACTCTCACAAACACGACACTCTCTGACTTTCAAAATCAAAGCATAAAATTGCATTAAAATATAAATTAATGCATTAACTTTCCCAATATCTTGTCAAAGCTACGTTAGTAATACTTTATCTGGACTGAAATGTCTTTGTGAACACCATCACAGGCTTGCCAACTTTTTCAAAACCCAACCAGGAAAACACAACATTGCAAGATAACACCAATTTGCATAACAATGAGCAAAATTACATAAAGTAAGACTGGTTTTGGTGAATGTGATAAAGCCCTTAACCCTGGCAGTGCGGCAGCCCTATATAAAGGGCGTGAGGCGGGTCATCCAGAGGCGTGATGGCCCTACATATAGGGCCGACCTACTTCGACTGGCATAGACCCTGAACTTTTTATTATGGAAAATTTCACTGTTCCTTATATGGTAAATGACAAGGTAAATTGCAGGTCAAAGTTATACATAGTGACCATTGAGTCTGCAAGTTATTTTGAATTTGTAGTGCGTCCCTTGGCCTAGAAATCGATTGATAAAGTGATGCAGTCGAGCTGAACGACTGCACGCTATGTAATCACTTGGTCGGCTGTGCTATTTTATTAATTGACAACTTCATTGTGTTTTGCTCTTTGTTTGTACCGGTTATTTCCGGTAAGACAGTGCTCGCTTCCAGCCAGGGTTAAAGTTCAGATTTCCAAATCTGGGACAGTCCTGTGAAATTTGGGACAATCGGAAAGCCTGCTATCAAAACACTCAAAGGTATAGGTGGATACCTCATCATGAGTAGGCGAGGGACAAACGCAGATTGGATTTCCATCCAACGCTAATCTCCTTAGTCTTGGGCAAAGGGATAGATATTGAACTTGTGTGATGTCATCAACGTTATTCCTGTGATTTGGAATAGAAAAATAAGTAAAGACATGATATCACAACTATTCCACTGGAAAATCTTTCTAAATGATTGTTAACTCATAAAGATGGCGAAAGTACACACATTCTCACACTGGTACACACACACACACAAACACGCACACACACACACACACACACACATGTATGTAAAAAAATTTAGAATTTTGTTAAATTTCTAATACATGGTAAGAATGACCAATCAAAGTATCAATTTTCAGTTTATTCGCAGGATCTACCAATTGGCAAGACTATCTCATACAAAGTGATAAACCAGCTGAAGAGATTGAGACACAATCTTTGTTTATATACCCTCCACCCACACTCCCCCCCCCAAAAAAAAACCTATTAAAGTCAGTCACGAAACAGTTTCCTTTCAAGAGGTAATATGTGTCACGATGTGGTGGAATCAGGCACACATCAATTTTTGAGCTTGTAGAGTTATTGGTATTATCAGAAAGCTTATTCATTTGCTTTGCTTTAAATAAAAATAATATCTATCTAGCTTGAATAGCAGTCAAGATGTTTGCAATTGAAGAAGGTGGGGTAGCCTGATGTCAGTCGTAAGATTAATGAGAAAATGGCAACCAAAGTTTGATAACTTCAATAGCGTAAGAGTTCTTGAAAACTGAAAATTACCTATTTTGTGTCTTTAAACAAGTTTTTTTCAGTAAAATTCACATGGAAATGTGTTTTCATATAAACATAAAAGGTGTTTAGCCAAAAAACAAAATTCCTGTAAAAATTGCCAAACTGAATGGAAAATGCCTTTTTCTTCGATTTCATTATTTTGAGGAGCGCCTGATTTCACCACGATACCTCACATATATCAAATGAGCATAAGAAGTGAAAGTAGATCAAGAGCTGGGACAGTTGAAAACCTTCTATGTCTCGCTAGAATTTTGATTACCATGAGCTCCATTGCAGATACGGAGCCAGCATAAACAAGTCTCTTTTTATCCCCCTCCCTGTTGCTAATAATAACTACTAGGGATAGTGACTTACCCTTCCAAATCTAAAATTTCCAAGTGTTCCAACATAGAAATAGGACTAATGTCTGTAACCTCATTATACTCCAGATACAGCTCTTTGAGGTTAAGCATGGAGGAAATCCCATCCAGTTCCTCAAGACCACATCTGGTAAGCCATAGCACACGTAACTTTCTCAGGGATGAGCCTAAGTCCCTGGAAGAGAATAAATTAGTCAACGAGTAAAGGAAATGTCACTCTTCTCATTTATCACAAAATCTGCACCCACAACCATTTGACAGGAAGAAGCAGCAAGAAAAGAGGAAAGTGTACGCTCAGCGTAACAGATAATGTGGATAAAGAGTGAACAACCATTGGAAAGTTAAACTAATTCCATTTTATGTTACAGATAGAATGAAATAGATCAGCAACAAAGAAAATGGAAGACATCTAAACCTAGAAAAAAGACACACAACAATATATTGGGAGTGGTCCAATAACTTTTCACACGAGGACATAAATAGTAATTGTAAACAAATTATGACCCAAAATTTCAATCAAAGTGATTTTAGTTTTTAGTTTTTTCTATTTGTGTGTTCTTTTGGTGTTGATGTTGCTTGTAATAGAAAATAAAAAGAAGCAGGGAAATGGTGTTGAAGTTTTTTTGGTCATGAAGGTGAGCGATTTTTGAGTAAGGTTTATACGTTCGTATGCCAGTTTGATTTGGTGTAGGGTGCATGATAGAGCAAAAGCTTTTACAGCATGTGGGCATGAGTGAATGTACAAAATAAACTTTGATTAAGCAGCTTCTGCAAACAGTTTTCCAGCTGTACCACAGCAAGGAGAAATCACACACAGCGTAATTCTTTGCATCTTTGGAGAACTGGACTTTTTACCACGATCATGTCAAAATACAAGATGGGACAAGAACTGCACAAGACTTTTGTGTACCCAGCTCTAGGTACAAATAAGGAATCAACCCCCGGTGATTATTTTCCAGCTTGCCACCACCAACGATCATGTGAAACATTATATTTAGAATCTAGATATCTGAATGAAACTTCTTTTTTTTGTGTGTAAATGGCAAATTACCCTCAGTATTAGTACCCGGTAGCGGGTTGGCTATCTCAATTTTCAGTGCATTAAAAAAACTTTTGTACATTGGTTTATATTTTTTAATGAAACTGGTTTGTTCCTAAATGGGAAGAGTTGACACAGTAACTTACTAAAAATCACAAAAATGTCATGATCTCTTGTTCTTTTATTCACAGAACGAGAAATAAAACAGATTTGTTCCTACTAGTACAGGGGAACGAGGTTGAATGTGCTTACAGAATCCCGAATCAGCCTTTAGTCACGAAGCCATTAATGACATGAAAACAACACCTTTCAAATTTAAATATTAAAGGCAGTTTTCAGGATTTTTCATCAGTCATGATTAACAGAAGACTACATCAAAATTTGATTTTTCACCCACCCTACCTTTCAGTAAGTTATCATGTCAAGTCACATCTAGTCAAAAGTGTCCTCATTGTTGAGATTCTGAAATATTTCTGTACTTATTTGTGGTACACATTATGGTAGATAAGCTCAACATTATTAACACATTGGTCGAAGAAGCCATTTTTAATGTAACTAAAGCTGTCATGCCCATAGAAATCAATTAAAAGTACAAAAATCTTTAATTCCCAGGACCAATGACAGTGTAACATCAGAGGCTTAAGAGTCTGATCTGTTCATAAAAGAAAAGGTCTAGGATGAATTTGTTAATTTGTAAAAAGGTACAGGCACTAAACAGTCCAAACACAAACACACACACAAACACACGTACAAACACACACATACCTGGCACAGGCAATGCTGCTGCCACTCAGTTTGAGTTCTGTAAGATTAGGCAGCAGTCCACCAAAGTTTCCCAAACTGGTTTCTCTAGAATCAACTTTCAACTCCAATGATTCAACAAGCTCTAGATTATCAACCCCAGTTAGAAGTTGCTGTGAAATTATAGCAGTACATTTAATGCAAGAAATGTAGATATCAAAATATAATGAGTATAAAGAAAGACATTTACCTCACATGCATAAATATTCACGACAGGAAGTGTTGGTTTCCTTGATTTTCATTGGGCAGCTTGCATATAATGCATTTTGTGAAAACTAAACCAAAGCATATCACGCACTTTGTGAAAAAATGCTGAATTGATGTGCAAAAATAAGAGCGTTATAAAATGTTTTGTAAAAAATTATTTTTTGAGTAAAATGTAAGATGCAATCCCGATGACTACTTTAAAAAGAAGGATTTTTATGTACAACACGTTTTGTGATGAAGCTCTTCCAATATACGAAAATTTACCCACATTTTTTTTCAATACTTTCTACTTTTACCTCTCCAGCTATATTTATAAACAAGTTTAAATAGATTTCCTAGCTAACTGTGCATTATAATATTCTATTCAGAATACACAGTAGGTGCTGTTGTTGTGTTGTAGTTTTCACAGAGTCAGCTCGAAAAGGAAAAATACAGACAAGAAATAAAAGAGGCCCACCACACCAACAGGTTCAATGACCACAAAATTATTTGTCATTATAAAGCGAAAATGTTTTTAGAAACAGCAAAGAAAACAAAGTGAAACCTCAAAAAAATAAATATACCAATTTCCCAGGACTTAAATACTGCTCCAGAAGAATGTCAGACTCCTCAAGCAAGAGAGGTGTAGGGTTGACTCTGCTCTCAGCAAATTCAGTGATCTGTACCCCTCTCGCTAAGGCACTCATCGGCCTTGCTTCACTTCCAGGGAAGCCTCCACTGCTAGAATCATGTTTTTCATCTTGAGTCTTTTCTCCAATCTTAGCTTCATCGTCCATTGTGAAAGTGCTGGAAATAATGAATGTCATACACTTTAAGAGTAACATTTATCACATTTAAAAAGAACTGGCAAGTGATCTAAGAAAAAAATTGCTTTCCTATCAGAAGCAACACAAGTTGTTTTTCTTTAACAAAATGAAACATTAGAGATAAATTTGACTTTTAAACAATGATGAAGCTGAAGAGCATGAATATTTATGACTGTTACACTGAGAAAACCAGTGTACCATTGGACAGAACTCAATTAGTCTATTAACTCCTTTTTGTTATGATCATGCTACCTTGCTTGGGCAGCGTGCTGGTTCTGTGGCTGCCATACAAAGTGGTTAGGAATTTCAGATGAGTATTTCAAAGAACAGTGGTTTCAGCCTAACAGCAACCCCCTTGGGAAGCAAACCTTGGTTACTCATAGGTAGAGGTTGCTGCTAACTGAATTTTCTACTTGGGTAATCTGCACCTACTCACCCTTCACACACACAAAAACACACACACACACACACACACACACACACACACACACACACAAATGCATGCATAAGCATACATGCATGCACACACACAACCTAATTGCAGGATGTTGTATTGTTGCAGTGGCAAGTGATAACATAGGCCAAGGTTCCACCTGAGCTTGTGCTTTCAGGAGAAGTGATGTTCAATCACAGAGCCGTAATGTTACCCACAGTAGCCAATATCTCCCCCCCCCCCCCCCCCCCAAAGAAACTCTTGAAGGAAGGTGGCTCTTGGTGAAAGGGTGTGAACGATGTGGACTGATCTCCTGTACGCCACTTAGTGGGTTGTTTTTTTTTACATGAGTAGATGTTGTGAAGACGTTATTAAAGTGGAGGCATCTGATGAGCCTCTCTGTTATACTGTGCCCCTGCAATCCCGACGGATTATGAGACCAGTGACCAGGTGTAGTGAGAAAAAAATAAACTAGAGAGGAGGGGCGCTCACACTGAAATCATAGGCCTGAGTCATATTTTTTAAATTCGAATCATCTATACAAAATTTTTGTCAGGCAATTTATAGCAACTTTCAACACTTTTGTTTCAATGTCACTCTTGTCTCATATTTAATGATATTCTAACTCACTCTCAAAATTCAGAATCATTTTCTGTTTCTCAGTCCAACAATAATGCAAGAAGAGCAGAAAGATTTACATGGTCATAATTACCTCCCAGAAAAATAAAATCAATCCAAACTTCCTAGGTGGACACAATATTAATTCAAGGGTCCTCTGGAGAAAAAGTTTCTGCGGGAAACCTCTATTCTAAAATAAAAATTTTAAGGGATTAATAAAGAATCAGTAAATGTTTAACCTTTTTTAACACAAAATCTCTGTAATAAGAGAAAAATGCTTGCAGGAAGAGGCAACTATTACCTGCAAACACCCGAATGATACTGACTTCTCATTCCCCAAAAGTCTGTGATATGAATAGGAGAAAAAGACAGAAAGTATAACAAATATTTCCCCATATTCACAGAGCAGTCAGATCCATATTCCTCTGGTAACGAAAGCTAGGGTCAAAGCGGAAATCAGTGAGATTCTTACATAATGAATTCCCTTTCAAACTGGGGCTGTTTGAAAGAAGTTGCGGGGAGAGTGCATGGATTTAAGATGTGTCATGGATGATTCGTCTCAACTCCTTAGATGTTTAAATAAAAGTACTCACTTGCTTTGATATGAGCTGTAACCACGGAGTGGTGGTCTATCTATAACCAGAGCCATCAGAAGTCAGCAAAATCTGTACCAATATAAGAAAAAGAGTTTAAAAAGAATTGAAAACGCATGATCCATAATTGATACATAGAGACCAGTATTTCTATAATAAATTAGCTAATTACTGCCAGTGTTGGATGCACACACATATATTACAATGAATGGCGCATAAATACTTTTATTGCTGTACATATTTCTCATTCTAGAAAACAAAAACTTGTGTGACACGTACTATTTATGCTGGTTCCAAAATACAGTTTCTAAGAAAAAGAATGAACACATCTTAGTCATATGAATAGATCTAGATTCTATGACCAATCAGTATTCAAAAGCTGCAATTCATTTTAATTTTTTAACTTTCAAACTCTAAAAGTGAAATTTGGTCCCAAAAAATTGCAAATGAACTGATGGTGAGGAAGTGAACATTAACCTATATTTGGAGAATAAAGATCTAGAATCTAGATCTATAGGAACTCTAAGAAAAGGGTAAATTTTTACTTTCACTCCCGAACACAGAAACACTGCTTCGGGGGTCAAACTGCAGTAGGCACTACTTGGATATGGTGGTCCCGACTTTTGTGACAGGGAAATATAACCCAGAGAAAATCTAGAACCTAGTTTTGACCCCAAAGACGATTACTTCTGGTTTTAAGTCTAAATGATTACTTTTTGATTCGCGTGCCGGAGAGATAGCCTTTCAAACCTAATTGCAAAAAACATCAAATCATGGTCAAATTCAGAGGGGCATGCCCCCCTGAAACACCCTATGTTTTGTTTCTTTTAAGTCAGGGGGGCAACCCCCCTTGCCTTGTGAAAAACAAGTGAAATTTTTCTGCTCATTTTGTACGCTAGTTTTAGATCTAGACTACTGATAAAACATAAAACATTGATACCGACTAGATCTATTTAGCAATGACAATGAAAAATTAAATTTTCATCCAAATTGCTCAAAAATGGCCTTAAATGAAAATAGAGTAAAATATAAGAACCATGGTTTTTTAAATTTAAAAATCCATTGATAAATAAAAATGTTATTGGGGTTTTTGTTGGCAAAATGTTGGAGGACCTTCAAAGAGGAAAATATCGCCAAAATGTGGGACATGTCTTGATGTATTTTGAGGAAAAACTGTTCATAACCCAGTAATGAATAGGAGCATATAATGAATGAAACTTGGCATCTTCGTGTGATTTTTAGTGCTTTTTTCTAGTTCTGGTATCACTTTTTCGATGTCTTTATTACTTTGGATCTTAAAGACTGATATTTGCGTGAAATTTGTTGAATAGCGTTACATCGTTTTTACCGCGACGCGATCACCCCTTCTAAAACTCAGTAAAGCGCTATCGGGAAAACCCGCGATGAAGTCATCGGTGACCTATTTAGTTATAGGCAGCCAATCACATATGCCGCCTAGCGATCACGCGCCTCTTGCATGCCGGCACCTCGCGTTTGGAATGTGTGATCTAGTTTCCAGCTCTAGAGTTTTATCAATAGACGGGTGGTAATTTTAAGTTGGTACGTAAAATCTACTAAACGCAGAGATCTGAAATTTTACAGCAATAAAGAAGACATGTGGGGCGCCTGTGTGGTCGGCGATCAACCCGCAGCTCCGCTTAGTTTTCAAACGGCAGAGGAAATTCGCACAAACACGGCAATATCTCAAGTTCTAGAAATCGTTCGGGATTGTACGCTCGCATGTCGTTAGTTTAATCTTTCCTCTGATTGGTTGCCGAGTTTCATTTATTTTCGTCCACGAGTTTTCCCGTAACTATACTTAGAAGAGAGTCACTTCTGATTCCGAGCGGCCCAAAAATTACCCCTCGCGCGGAGGCCGATTTCCGGCCCAAGGCGCAGTGGGTGATTGGCATTGCTAATCTATTTGAATCAGTATCCATATTTTAGTGGCCTACACTACACAAAAGTCGGGACCACCGCATATCCAAGTAGTGCCCTGCAGTACTGTTTGCTGCAGATCACTCATAAAGCCACTAAAACTGTCGCAAATCAATTATTTTCAGGAAAATTTCAAATCTAACTACTTATAAATACTTAGATTATATTATATCAAATTATGTAACAGTAACCACCCAGATTTTCTTTCACCCAAGGGGGACAGGCCCTCTGGAGGCCCC